ACCGATGGCTCCAAAATGAAAGAAGGCTCAGGATGCGGGATATACCTATTTCAGATCACTGAACATAAGAATAAAGTGGGGCATGGGCAAAAATGCCAGCGTAGTTCAGACAGAACTTGCTGCTATCTCCATAGCCGCAAAAGAGATAACCCAAAAAGGTATAGCAGAGAAAACTATAATGATTTGCATAGATAGCAGACAAGCGCCACTAACCTTGTCACATCAGGGTTAGTAATGGAGTGTCACGAGCTTGAACTCAAGCTTCGGATGGAAATGCCATCATCCTGAGGTGGGTTAAAGGACACAACAGGAATAAAGGCAACCGCATTGCTGACTATTTGGCTAGGAAGGCGGCAGCCCAAGACTCTTAGGACCTAGGAACCTTTTTGGTTGGTTAACTACAACAATCGTGGAAATTATCAAATGTCACTCCCATACGCAAACCGTAAAAAGATGGGAAGAAGGGCAAGGATGTAAACTTGCCAAGGTAAAAGTCAGTAACCCTGATGAATCAGCATCAAAGAAATACTTGGGAATGACCAAGAAAAATCTACACTTTACAGTTGGTTTTTTTAACTGGTCATTGTCAACTAAACAAACACCTCCACACACTGGGGCTAGCAGACACACCTCTACGTACGAAGTGTAAACGAGAAGACAAAACTGTAAAACATGTCCTATGTGAATGCCTGGAGTTATCGTTAATACGAGAGTACGCATTCGGCGAGTCCTGACTCACACCTGCCCATATAAGAGAAATGTCTCCTGGTGACTTGTCCATCTACCTAGAAATGGCAGGATGGAGAATGACCTAAGGGCGACAGCTCCCTGGGAGGATGCACAATGGGTCAATTGTGGCCTACGTGCTGTGAAACTTAACTCGCCCTCCCTACTCTACAGATACAGACTACACTGGTAACTAGAAACAGTTATAGTGCGCGCAAGCACTCCCGACCACGGCGCAGTAGACGAAATTTGGTTTAGTCCCCACATCCATGCAAAACGCATTGTACTATGCACTGTATAATTCCACTTACAATAGAACCTTTCTGCCTCTACGTGAATTTGACTCCGCCTTCGCGCAGCTCCATGGTCAGGAGTGCTTGAACTATCTTTACAAGCCTAGAACAGCATCTCAAACGTCTACTAAGAGAAAGATACAACACATTCATGCAATGGCGTCCGAGTTAAAAAAATATGTTAGATGTAATCTTCCAGGTTGTAAGGGTAAAACAAAAGTTTATTGTAAATCATGTGACATGTTATGTTTAACGAGAAATAAAAATGGCTTTAAACAATTTCATTTACAATAATTTGTATTGATGTGATTCAAATGTCCTTTTGAAAGGACATGTTTTTTTCACATTTCACAAATTTTCACAAATCGTACGAATTTTAATAAAAAAACATAAAAAAGAACAGGTCAGATCTCAGGAGGATATACCTTTTAGAACCTTCAAATATCTTTATAAGACTTTTACGTGAAATCGATTAAGCTTTATCAGATAGACTGGTGTATAAATCCTGTAATGAAGAAAAAGAAGGAATAATGAAACATTAATTTGTTTTACAAAAGTCATCGTTTGGGAAACGTTAATATTTTTTCTATGAATAGCAAAATAACGTATACAAAAATTATACATACCTTGTTGTGATTCATGCAAATTCCAAGGGACGTATGTCTCGACAGCATTAAGCCCAGCTGCTCTCATTTTCCTCAATCTGTCTCTCCAGTGTCCTCTCGGTACTCGAAAATAGTGGAAAGCTCCGCTATATATCGTAATATTTTTATTGTTGAGGGTGAAATATGGTTGTTTATCAGACAAACCCTCTGAAATACCATTTCCGGTATAGTATTCGTATAATGTAGGTAGAGAGGTTGCTAATGCCATGCTTAATAACTTGGATGTATTGTCTAATAAATTTAATAACAAATTATAATTAAAACTAAAACTGTTATATAAGTGTATGTATCAGATTTTTATATTTTAATAAAAATGAATTAATCTCGATAAGAAAGTTATCTGCTTTGCTATTTAAAACAAAACACTTGAAATATATCGAACCAGATAAAATGGTATTTAAAAATTATAATTAAAATATTACATATTATTAACAGGTGGACAGGGTTAATTGAAGCACTTGAAGCAGACTATTTGAAAACGCACTCATACAATCCTTTATTCTCCTTGCGCCTTTGTAAGTACGTAAGTTTTCTTCTGGTTTGTTCCAGAAAGTTCTATGGCGCGAAAATACAAGGAGATCTTCATGTAAAAGGCAAAAAGATGCGTCTTTTATTTTATTGGGAAAATTGGGATGCTTTTCATTTTCAATGGTTTTTCGAATAATTTCCTAGCTTTAGACCTTTATAAAGCGTATCGATATTTTTATTATGGCTTGATGTTATAAGGAATAGTTAGAATTATATTTTTGCTATAGAATACATTTTTGTATAGTTTTTGTTTTCTTTTTTATATTCGGCAACCACAAGTCCAGCCACAAGATGCTATTTTGGGCTCAATCTACTCTTTAAATCCACAATTATATCGAGAAATACAAAAATAAAACTCTACAAAACAATAATACGCCCAGTCCTAACATATGATTCAGAGACATGGAACTTCGAACTTTATAGAATATACAAGGAACCAGATATCTTAAAACATAGGTATTAAGATAGGACGTCTGAGGTGGGTAGGGCATGTAATTCGAATGGAACAAATTGACCCTGCTCGAAAAACACTCCTTGATAGATCCATTGGCCAGAAAAGAAAAGAAAGACCCAGAACGTGATTCCTTGATAACATTGATGAAGATATGAGAAATATGGGAATACGTGCTTCGAGGAGAAAGACGATGGATAGGGACGACTGGAGAGAAATTCTTGAGGAGGCTAGGACCCACGCAGGGTTGTAAAGCCAGAATGATGATGATAATGATGTAATTCGTTATTGTTTGTTTTAATATTTATTCTTCAAGAATTTTTTCTACCATTACATAAACTGCTTTTCTGGAGTAATCGCATAATACTTGTATATATTCTTCGTAAATTTATTATCTAATTTTTGTATAATGGTGACAATAATGGGGACAACCAGAAAGTTCTTTCAGAGAAAATTTAACAAAGTATTTACAAAGCAACGAATACATTTAATACATGTTAGGAAATATTAAAACTCGAAAAACTGCGAAACGGGGAACTGTAAATTGCCTACATTTGGCGCATGTCATCCATCTCATAAGGCTTATTTTATGACCACAGAATAAAAAATACGTTGAATAATAACCAATGACGTATAATATATAGACTACGCAGTCCCCTATTCTCGCTATAGAATCGAGTGTCCGAAAGATCTCGGCTCAAGGTTGAAGGTATGTTTATTAGAACAGCGGTGTGCTCATTTATATGTTAATGACAATAATTATTTTTTTAATTAAAATTAAATATTTATGATTTCTTTTTGTTCCCGTCTATAAGAGAAATAATTATTTTGATAAAATAGTATGGCATTTTACTAAAATACTAAGTAAATAACTATCAACAATTTAAAATAAAATTTGCTTGTCGCACAAAATGGAGTACGTCCATGATGTTTTCAAACACAAGATCAACTTCGTGATGCTTCGTAAGAAATCATGAACTTCGTGCATCTTCGTATCAAAACAATAAACAATAACAAAGGTATTCATGTTTTGGACACTTTTTAAAGCGTTCACCGAGTCTATATATTATACGTCATTGATAATAACCACCCAATACCAGAGAACTTAGTTCGTTGTACCGTCGAACGTCCTATGATCGAATTAAGACAGAATTGAAGCCAACTAGAGGACGCTATTTTTCGGCGGAAAAAAAGTAAGGGGGCAAAAAATTGAAAATTACACTTAACTGCGTAAAGAAAATTTCAAAAGATCTCGTTTATGTTAGCTTTATTTATGATTTTAATCATGAAAAAATGAAGTTTGAGACTTACTTTATCAACTTAAAAATTGTAACCAAGCAAAACTATCGTTTTATGTCAAAACAATTACTAAAAAATACCTATCATTCGAGTTTAATATTACACTTTTCAGTAAATAAATTAAGAATATTGAGAAATTAAATAAATAGAGAAAAAAGGGGGAAAATTGTTGATTGTTGAATTTAGATATTTATTATTTGTGTTATATACTTATTACAATAATGTTCGTGTATTAACAAAATAACATTAACACAGAAGCATAAGAATGACCGGATTTGGTTTAAATAAAATTGCATACAATCTAAACACTTTAGTTTGGGAAAAATTTTCGTAATAATAAATCCATAGATATAAAAAAGGATAAAATCCTTTAATTTACATTCCTCATCGCCTACCAACGCAATGTTCAACTCTTTTGGCTGACAATCTATATCAGTTTATAGTTGATTATCTTAAAAGATATATTTTTTTCTCATCTGTACTCTATTTGGAATACATTTTCCTCATTTTCATTATTATTTAGATAATCCAATACAATACAATTGGCTACAGGAGAGGACATAATTTAATTACGATCTAAACATACACACAAAAAGAATATTTTTCGTCCAGAAGATTATTTTAAAACCACTTGTATAATACAAAATGCCATATAATTATCACGATAAGTACACAAGTAGCATTTTAAACAAATATATTATTAACAATTGTTTACATTTTTTTACCCCCTTATTTGTGTCCACCTAGCGGTTAATACGTACATTAAACTTTAAAAATCGGTTTCACTTATTGTAGTTCTTCCTACTACATCCTGCTACATCTCTGTCTTTTACTTATTCTGTGCTGTGGTGTCGGTGGTGTCTATGGTGGTGTCGTGGTACTCGTGGTCTGTGGTTATGCGTTTTGTGTTTGACATTCAAAGCAATTTTAGGTTAAAACCACAATACATACGTTAAAACAAACTATATTTCTACTGGAATCCGTCTTTTACCAAATTTTCTAATTTTTATAACCCATATATTTTGTCCCTACGTTGTAATGGACTATTCTTCAATAATAATTGACTTAGATTCTAGTAGCTCGACATTCGAACAGGTGGATGAGCAGAAAGATAAAACCTTATTTATAGAGGATGAAACCTCTAAGGAAACAACAGAAACTCCCAAACAACTTCAACATAAAGCAGAAATATTTTACCAGTGTTACTCTTGTGATTTTATTACCAAACATCTAAACTTGTTTAATTCTCATAAAGCTTTTGCACATCCACAGCATCCAAGCGACAGCACTGAACCAGCACCCGACGGTGAAAAAAACATAGTTGAGGGTATGAGGGACACTGCTTACTATTTTGAAATATTTGTCATTTATTTCTTAGTTTCATGATTTAGAGTTTAATACAAAATGACCACCTGTATCCCTTTTTTAGTAAGTAAAAAAAATTACAATTTTTTGCAAAGTTTTCAATTTTTTTACTACAAAAAACACTGTTCATTATATGTTAATGGGATTCGTTTGGAATGTTCATTTATAAGATTATAAGTTATTTTATTCCTTGAAGATTCAGGATTATTGCCTACATCAAATATGAATTCCTAAGTACCTATATGCATATGCCTCATTTGGACAGTTTATACCAAGTGTTTGCAATATCATCTTATTGTCTCCACAGAATATAAACAGTGTCTGTACTTGCTCATTTGGGTTTCCAAGACCATAAAAGGAGTGGATAATAAATTACTTAAGCTTGCAAATTTTGTTTTCTTGTATTTTTCAGTAGATTTTTGAACAAATCACTTACTATCTGATTTGAAACTGATGTTTACAATTTACTCAATAAACTCATATTTTGTTTTAGGAAAACGTCAAAACAAAAGGAAATTCAAAACAGCTTTATGTGACAATGAAAAAATATTACTGCTTCAGTATGTCAGCAAACTACAATTAAATAAATATTATGAATCTGTGGACACTATTAAAAATGCATTAGATAATAAATGGTATGAAGTGTCGAAAATATTTAAAGAGAATGGTTATAGCAGGGCAGCTGCAAAATTAGGAGGATACTTTGTGAGTATGAGAGTTGAAGCCATGTCAAGGATGAAACGTTATTACATTCAAAGATCTGCTGTGAGACCCAGAAATGTAGATTATTTATTTGCAAATTTATTTCCCAAGCATTTTGAGGAGCTCAGTTTGGATATGAATGAATTAATGGCAGATGCTTTAGTAGTAGTAAGTAATTATTTTTTGCTATGTTAGTTAAATTTTGATTGACTAGCAGTGCATAAAGTGAATAATATAAGCAACAAAGCATATGTGCTTATAGCCAATAACAAAAATTTATTCACATAACAAAATAAAACAATCAATTAAACTAAAAGTCCTAAGCAAATTTTATTAAGTGTTAAGGATGTGTTTATAAAATGAAGGACAATAGTAAATTAAATATACTTTAAAAAACTGCTAAAACTGATAAAAAAATTTTCCTTTTGGTTTTTCAGTTAAGAACAATTTTATGCAAACCCATGACAGGGGACGATTGTAGCCATTTGGGAGAAAGTTTAATTTGACGTTTTTAACACTCTAATTTTATGACACTATAATTTATAATAAAATAAAAAGATAATAAAACATTACTTCTACTAATTAACCCATTCAGGACGGCTCCTATTTGCTCTTGCAACGCCACACAGATGGCAGTTTTTAGTGTGCCTTGTGGACGGCTGGCACATATATCGGTAAGAATAGAAAAATTAACATGTTTTTTGTCCATTTCTTTTGTATATGAACACACAACACATCTTCTGGAGGCAGTTTTTGTGCTTTAATCTGGGTATATCCACGGACATGGATCTGGGATCTTTCACTTGATATTAATATCTGAAATTAGAAAAAAACCCAGAATGTATGTAAATAACAAAAACTTACCTTCTAAAAATCTAATGTATAAGACTCAGTTGAAATTTGGCAAGCAGCATTGGCTTAGTCTGGTTTGTTAAGAACATAGTGTGGGCATTTAGTACACATATATCTACTGTGTGAAAAAATATCATGCAATCAATGCTACTTATCATCATGTCAGAGCGGTCGACTGACTCCATTTGTTTATAGTACTCAATAACACAATCTGGTTTCCTTACTGATCAGTAGTAGGATCAATTTTGTCAAGAACAATCATTTTATTTTTATGCATTGTTGTTATCATCATAACATCTCTTCTGTCTTTCCAGTTAAACACCAAGCAAATGTCAGAATTTCTACAATCTACTTCACCTTTTTTCAATTTTTTTTTTGCAAAAGAAGGCATGTGAAGCCGTTTAGATCTAACAGTCCCACAAGAATTTGTTTTATGTTCATACAAATAATGTGACAATATTAGACTGCTATAAAAATTGTCAGTAAACAGTAGTGGCCTTTGTGCAGGTATGGTTTCATAAGCTGAGCCACAACATTTTCAGTGACACCCAAGCCTTTGGTAGTTTCTTTGGTAGAATATGTATTCTTCCCAACATAAACAATAAAATCCAGAACAAAACCAGTCTTGTAGTCAAAAGTAACATAAAGTGTTCCAAAACGGTGGAGTTTGGTTTTTATGTATTGTTTAAAAAGGAGTCTTCCCTTAAATAATATCATACTCTCATCAATAACGAGGTTTCCACAGGGATAGAATTGTGACAAATCTTTTTTTTATTTGTGTCAAAACTTCCTTTATTTTATACAAGCGATCTCCAGCTTCTGCATGTTCATTGTTAGAGAAATGCAAATATTTCATAATTTGACAAAAAAGTATATGTCTTTTGACATTATTAGCAAAAATTCGTAGTACAAAAGAGGATCTTTTGACCAATTCTCCTTTACTTCAAGCTTTTTGTTTCTGGACACAAGCATAGTCAATCCAAGAAAGGTAAAGAACTAATCTAAATAAAGATGTTTCCATTTTTTATCATTTTTGTGCATAGCATACATATTAGTTTCATCAACTCTACATATATTTGGCTGTATCCTCGGTGAAAATGTTCAAAAAATAATCTATTGCCTTTGGTTCTTCCGTTAAGTTCATCATTTCCTGTACTCCGCTCTGACTATGATCATATTTATGTAACTTGGGGACGAATTGATTTTTTTCCCACTGGATTTGTATGTCACTATAATCTTTTTCAATATTATTTTGATCGTTTGCATCTAAATTGTCACAATTCTCTAAGCTTACATCTTCATTAATTTCTTCTTCAGCACTGCTTTCTTGATCACTTTCTCCAGTTGGCAAATATTCATTCCCACTATCAGAAAATGGCTCCTCTTCACTATCAGAAAATTCAATTGTGTCCACTATTTTTTAGTAAATTAGCCACTTCCTATTAGGTTAATCAACAATACGAAGAATAATCATTTGCAGTCTTATTATTAACTTTAATTCTTTTGCTCGAAGGCCTGGCGTTCTCGTTGCAAGACATTTTAGTTGCTACTGAAACACGTATAGCGACCGGAAATTTCAAGTAATCTGTATGCTGAATGCGCATCTTTCTCTCTAGCCGAGTGTCGCCTATATCGGTTGGTGACTGATATAAATGACACTCGTCTGTGTGGCAAATTATGAGCTCACGACTATATCCTTCAGTCGTCTACCTGCCAATTTCATTTTAAAATGTTGGCTCATTAAGCATACAGTGGTTTTTGGAAACGGATAAACATAGTGACATATATATATATATATATATATATATATATATATATATATATATATATATATATATATATATATATATATATATATATATATATATATATATATATATATATATCGGTCAGTTGTCCGTGTGTCAGTTTTATTTATGTCGGATATATCGGTCAACCGTCCTGAGAGGGTTAATTATCACAATATTATTGGTACCGATATTTTAGGTTGACATAATACTTTGAAAAATTGTTACTTTTGAAATAATTAAAGTAATTAATATTAATTATATGAGTTACAAAAAAATTCTGTGTTATAATGCGTGCAAACACCCATGACCACGGCGCAGTAGACGAAATTTGGTTTAGTCCCTACTTCCATGCGAAACGCATTGTACTATGCACTGTATAATTCCACTTACAATAAAACCTTTCTGCCTTTACTTGAATTTGACTCCGCCTTCGCGCAGCTCCATGGTCAGGAGTGCTTGAACTATCTTTAACATTGTACTTTCTGATATTGTACTTAATACGATATAGTCTATAAACGTCAACATTATGTTCCTGGCACATTTTACAAGTTGTTAAATTGTAGGCTAAAATATATTCAAAGGAAATGCTAGAATATTTAGTCCCCCTCGAAGATCAAGAACGCCCTACTATATTGGACGATATAGCATCCTTAGGGTAAGTTATATTATGTAAAATCAATTTGATTTGTAAATTTAACATTTAATCCTTAAGTTGTTTGATTAAAAATATAATTAAATATGTAAAACATGAAAATAGTTTATAAACATTCTACAAGCGCTGCCAAATCAAAACTTACAATTGTCAGTAGGGAATTCAATCATCAACCATCATCTTATGGCTGTCTTTGTTCGATGTATGTTGTTGTGTATGGAAGGGCGGCTTAAGTTCATCGATTTAGTGTCTGTGAGTAGGAAAGAGATGTAATATAAAAAATAATTCGTGAATAATGACATACTTGTGCAAAGATCCAGCGGTTTTATTCTTTTTTAGGTGCTAGTGATTTTATAATGTAAAAGACTAAATATATTCGTTTTCTCGTAGTTAAAGTAGTCATAAGTAGTTTTGTTGTCATTAATGAAAAATTCGGTAATACTTGATATCTTCAACACATGTTTACTAGCTATTATATGCCTAGATCTAAAAAATAATATTACAACATTTAAAAAACATCATTCAAAAAATATTTTTTAATCACTCACTATGGCAGTTTAATAGAGAGGTTTCCACAGAATGTTATATTACAACTAAAAGTCCTTATCCGCAACTTAAACTACGAGAAAACGAATATCTAGTTTTTACAGAATAAAATTACCAGCAACGAAAAAGGATAAAACATTAATATAAATCAGGGGTGCTCAAACTTGAACTGCTGGCGATCTACCTCAATATTTTTAGACTACTTACGATCGACTCTGAGAGACTGCTAGTGTGTGTGGTGCAGGGTTGTCGTACATACACGATACACCCTACCTACCTAGGTAGGGAATACCGTAGCATATATAGATATTAGCTTTCTGCACAATATAGGTACATTATTTTAGTCAAGGTTTGGGTTAGGTTTAGTTAGGTTCTTCTCTACAATATCAATGAAAAAACTCATAGTTATTCAAAATTGTGAGTATATTTGTTGTTACAAAACAAAAGAGTTACATATGGTGTTAAACTTAACTAAGGAGTGGCTTTGGATGTTGAAGCGTGGCACTGCATGTCCTCAGCATACTTTTCATAAGATGGTACGTAACCACTGAGTGCTAATCGCAAGCATGATGTCATATGAACGTCAGTTAGTCGATTGCGATATTTTGACTTAATTATCTTCATTTCAGAAAATGCAGACTCGCACAAGTAAGTTGACCCAAAAAATGCCGTCAGTTAAAGGGCGATTTGCCTTACATTCGGATATTTATCTTCAGATATAAAACGCCAGAAATTTGTATCAGATACTGTAGCTTTGAGATGTATATCTAATATAATCTGCACCAACTCATTTTCAACAGAACAAGAGTTCATATTAAACTGACTTGCTATTTCAGTAGCTAATTAATTCCCCAATGTTTTTACATGAAAATGGATAACTCATAAATGATGCTATATTTTCCAATTTACTGCAATCATAAAAACGCATTTCGAATTGTCCCAAAATATTTGATAATTCAGCCTCATACGTATCATAATTCAACTGAGGAATCCTTGCCTGCAAAGACTGCAAATGTTTCAGATCCTTTCTTTTCAGTTGATCTATCATAAGTTGCAATTTACTTTTGAATGCTTTTACTGCGCTAATCATCTCAATAATAGTTTTTCCTTTACCTTGAAGCTCCAAGTTAACGGTGTTTAAGTGCATTGTGATGTCAGTCAAAAAAGCAAAATCATTTAGCCATTTTTCGTTTTTCAAAATCTGAGTGTCATCACCTCTTTCGTCTAGAAAAGCTGTTATTTCGGGCAATAATTCTTGAAACCTTTCTAGGAATTTTCCGCGACTCAACCACCTGAACTGCAACTGAAAGAGCCGCCGTTGCAAGCTACGTGCACGGATGGAATTCACAATTTTTGTTGCAATGCCCATAATTTCCTCCGTGTTTAAAGCTTTTGAACACAAAACTTGTTGATGTATAATACAATGCAATGAAAAAAATGAAGGGAATTCTTCATTAGCTCGACACAATGCCACAAAACCGTTTTTGTTTCCAGTCATTGCTGTTGCTCTATCGGTTGTAATGCACATTAATTTATATATTGGTAGCTCGTAGTTTTTTACAAAATTTAAGAAAACGTCATATATATGTTCGCCACGGGTCTTCCCCTTCAGAGGAATGATTGTCAAAAATTCTTCCTTAGCCAACATGTCATTGAATACCATCCGAATAAAAATACACAGCTGGGCAGTGTCTGTCATATCGATGGATTCGTCGAACTGTAAAGAAAAGTATGTACATTCCATGATATCATGTTTTAGTTTATCTGCGATGTCTTGACTCATGACTTCAATACGCCTTGTGACAGTCGGACGAGATAACTGAAGTTCTCTAATAGCAGACATGATTTCTGTTTTATTTTTAAAATCTCCAAATAAAGTCTCACCCGCTTCAATAAATGCTTCCTTCACCACCGATCCATCTTCAAATGGTTTCTTGTGTTTCGCCAAAATATGAGATATTTTAAATGACGCGATCGTAGCAGCTTTTGATTGTTTGGCTGGTCTTGTGAACATGGATTGTTCTTTTTTCAAACAAGACATCAAACCATTTACTTTTCGTTTTCTTAATTCACTCTGTGGCAGAAAATCCTTTTCATAGTTTTTATGAACCGTTTTATGATTCCTCTCTAAGTTACCACGCTTAGGTATTGCAACTGACGCACGACAATTAACACAAATGCACTTATCCTTCACCATAGAAAAGAAAAATTCTTCCTCCCAATCCTTATTAAAATGATACGTTTTAGATTTCTTCGCTGCACTCATTTTCCACTATTTAATAATAAACTTTGTATCGACGTAGGATCGCTATCAAGTTACAATTCCGAATAACTCCAATTCCTGCAGGCGCAACATTTATATCGGCGTGAACGAAAGTCTCGAATGTTCCCGTCAAACGCGCCGCCCGAAACTAGACTGTACTGTCTCTCGTCTAGAAACAACACGGCTTTTCTTTGACAAGTGCCATATAGAAGAATCTTTCACTGTTATTTTTTAGCGTTGGCAAAGGTTGAGCATACGTTATAAAAAAAGAAGCAAAGGTGGATCAAGATTTTAGTTCCTTATTAGTACCACTAGGGAGCGGTCCAAAGAAATCCAAATCAGCAACACGCGACGATAAAAAGAGACTTCGGGAGAATACCATCACCCCCTCGTAACAGACTTGCTAAGAAACCAAGGTGCTCTAACGAGCAGACTAGGTCATAAAGCACCCTGGTGGTATTCAAAATGGTGGTAGCACACAGGCACCATCCTGATACTCAACTAGATCGGGCTCAAGCAAATTTGTTCATTAACAATCTGGAGCAAGCACTTAATGAGGCTCCTATCTTAAGTCAAAATGAACTTCTGGAGTTCCATAAAATATCGTTTAGCGAAGGGATCCTGTGGGTGAACTGTATTAACGAGTATACAAAAAAATGGACGACTGAAGTGGTAAAAACTATTGAGGGCCTGTGAGAGAGAGTAAACTTAAATATAATTGTTCTAAATAATATGCACAAGCGCCCCATGGACCTTACCGCGTCCCCGAGAAAAAACTTGATGAAGAAACTATCTGGACCCATCTAAAGAGGTAAATCAAGACCTTAACACAGAAGACTGGTTGTGATCTCTGTTCCACAGACTGAATGACAGTAAAGATAAAGGTTATAGAGAAAGGAGTTATGAAGGAGATAGTTCTCAGATCAGCATACCTCCCATATGATGATCCCTAACAACCATCAAGGGAGTTGGAACAGTTAGTGAGAGATTGCATGAATAATGAACTGCAGTTAATCATTGTCTATGATATGAATGCCTACCATCTGACCTGGAGCAGTACAAATACCAAACTGTTAAAAATGGCATGCTTTAGATGACGTGTCTTGTTCAGACCATTGAGACAGGCAATCAGCATATCAAGGAAACTTATCGTAATCCTTGTAAATCAAATTGGGAAGCATATCAAGCAGACCTGGAATATTGTTTAGCCAAGATTAAAGAGGCGATAAGGGATACATTGAACGTAGACATGGCCGCCGTACAATTTCATTGTCACGTCAGCGCTTAAAGACAACTGTCTTATATAGTGAGGAATTTCAACGGGAAAGTACCCTGATGGAATGACAATCTGCAAACTAAAGGACAGAAGTCAAAATTGTCTAAAAAGTTTGATGAAAAGTTCTGAGAAAATTAAATTTTTGATTGAAAAATTTTGAAATTGTTTCGTAAATTTTTGGGCAGGAAAACATTATAATAAAAAGTTATGTGACGGTTTTTCGTAGTGTTGGAACAAACCTATTTTTAATTAAAAGTTATAAAATTTTATTTACATCTAATAAAAAAAATAAATACTTTGAATATTGTACCTTTTTAAGTTTTAAAATTAAAAATTTAACAATTTAATATATTAAAAATAAAGATTCTGTTGGAAAAACAATAAAAAAAGGCAGTTTGCAAATCAATGGCATCGAAATTTGATTTCACGTAGATTCATAAGTTAAATAAATTGCTCCGTTCGTACTCCTTCCTTCCCCACTTCTCCCTAACTACATCTTTTATGATGGTTTTAAGCCGACGGACAACATTAGTATTATTTGCTACTAAGGCATGTTTTGTTTCCTAGTTTTATTATCACATCTTAGTTTATATCTATATTTCATCTCATTTCGTTTTTCATGCAATTTTACTGCAATATTTACCTTTTTCTCACTTTCTAATGTCTCTAACCTATATTTCTTCTTTATTTTACAGTCATTTAAACGACGTAGAACTTCGACCAATTTTAGAGAGGCGTCATTCGGAGGAAACCGAAGGACCACCAAATAAAATCGCCAAAGAAGTCCACGAAGACGAAGATGCTTGGCTTAAAAGAATGTTGGATATAACACGGGGACTAACGGGAAGAAACAACTGTGAATCAACTTCATCTAAATCTTTAACGATTGAAAATAATTCCTCAACAGATGATATAAATGAACTTAAAGCAAAACTTCTGGTTGCAGAAGACGAGCTGAGGAAGAAAAATTATGAGCTTGAACGCAAAACTTTAGAAATTTCATATTTGAAAGAGCTTCACGCGAAGGAATTAGAAATAGAAAAAGTTAAACGTGCACTAGATGCTCGAAACGTGGAAAATAAAATTTAGCTTTAGATGGAACTTAAGTATTTTTTTACAGTGTTGTACACTAGCTTATTACCTTAGTTTTTTAGATATTTCCACGAAAGAAATCCAGGAAGATTTGTCCTAACATAACATAATAAGAATTGTGGTAAAACATTTTATTTCGGCACGTTTTACCAAAGATCATATCACAATACATTTTATATACAGATTGAACGAAATAAATTCGGAACATACGAAATATTATGTATTTCGGCTCAATTCTGCTGTAGGTGGTTGGCCAACAAAAGGTTGTCAAAGAATTATATTATAAAAATCCAATACTTCAGCGGGCTGCTGGATTCTAAAATCATAAAAATTGAAAGCTACACATAAATCTACGATTTTATTATGCTGTCAAACCACTTATAGTCCAGGAAATGAAGCATTTCACCTCGCAATTTTTTCGTCCTGCGTGGATTGACTTGAAATTTTAACAGAAGGTAGGTAATAGCCAAGGATCAAAATCTATATCGAACCAAAGTGCGCCAAAGCCTTGGGGGTGGTTACCACCCCATCTCGGGGGTGAAAAAATTTTTTACGTTTAAACTACAGGTTTCGATTAAAAGGTGATTCTAAACAAAAAATGTTCTATACATTTTTTTTGTAAAACTGATATTTTTCAAGTTATTCGCGATTGAAAGTAACAACTTTTAGACAAAAAAATCGACGTTTTTAATCGATTTTTCGCGAATAACTCGAAAATGGTGCATTTTATCAAAAAAGTTGTAGATAACAAATTTGTAACTTTTAAAAAGACAAATACAATTCATTTTTTAAAATGTTTTTGCGATATAATAGGAACCGAAATACGGCCTATCAATGTTCAGCGGTTTTCTTCAAATGCCAAATTTGAAAGATTCAAAGTCAAAGTTCTGTCAAAACTCACAGAACCTTTTTTAAAAAGCATAAATAGACCTATCATAAAAAAAGACTCTAGCTCAAAAATTGAGTGAGTTATGATGAAAATAAGGTCAATACCTAATTTTTTTACGAAAAAATCGATGAAAACAACCCCCTAACCACCTCCATAATTAAAATCGATCTTCACCCTTCTGCAATTCTCTTTGTACATGTATTGTTAATACGTCCAAGAACTTTGACCCATTTTAAATGCTTAGTTTTAGAAAAAGTACAGCTTAAAGCTAGAAACGATTTACAATTTCATATTTTTTACCCTTCTTTTTTAAATATCCCCGAAAATACTGAATATATGAAAAAATAAAAATGTACTAAATTGTAGCTTTTTTAATGACTAAAATTTTCCTTTATTTAGATTTGTTGTACAATGAATATTTGGCAATGTACAATGAATATTTGGCGAGATATATTTAAAGCATCGATTTACGATCAAGCACCATCTTTTCCGAGCCCTTTAAACTCACCCCATTTAAAAACCAAGGGTTCCAAAAAGATTTAATTCACAGATCCTTGTAGCTCTTAAAAACCTCTACAAAATCGTTTTTGAAGAAACACTCTATTGTTAAAAATGAAGGAAATACGTTAAAAAAACCAATTAATTTTTTTCCGGAAAATTCCATTAGTGTAGTACAGTACATTTCGGAGCATAATAATCTACAAAACCGGTATGTTAGGTAGTGGGGCGTTATACATTAATTGCAGTTAATTATTAGAAATTTTTTAGCAATTACCCTTTGATAGATTAGGGGATAGATTTGGCAGTTGCCAGATTGCAACAGATGTTTGCAATTAATCTCGAAAGAGACGAATATTTTCCCGTTATTGCTTCATATAAATTAAAAGTTGCAGAATTCATAAAATAGTATAATCAAAATGTACTTTTTAAAAGCTTAATCTCTTTATATTTGAAGCATTCACCATACATGCATTATAAAAACATGCGAAACCGAAATATTTTTGATATTTGCTGCTATATTCAGCTTGTACTTTCGGTAGACTCAACCATGAATTTCATTGTACCATGACCACAGAATAATAATCAATTTCTGTGCCATGACATTCTTGTGTTTTATGTACAGAACGAGATCGAGAAAGAAGTGTTTACAATTTTGGTGTAAAAGACAGGTATTTTCCAAGAATTTCCTCATTTTTGTAATTAATAGACCAATTTTATTTGCCCAAACTTTTTAAAGCAATATACTGTGCCCAAACATTATTATTCAATAAGGACAATGGAGTTAGAATCTAGTACCGTGAACATCGACATCGAAGAGGTGAATGAGAAAAGTGAAAGAATGTTAGATGAAGCCAAGAAATATAATGAAACCTTTAAGTTAGAAACAGATTCTGCCGGTCAACTTGAACTACATGTAGGAGAAATATTTTACGAGTGTTACTTTTGTGATTTTATTACTAAAAATAAAAACTTGTTTAATTCTCATAAAGTTTTTGCACATCCACGCAAAAACGGTCAAAGGCACAAAAGAAGACAACACATAGGTTCACAAGAAAAAGACGGTGAAAAAAACGGAGTAGAAGGTATGAAACTACTTACAGTTTTTATCTTTTGTAATTTATTATGTATTTCCCATATCACTTTCCTAAGATACTCCAAAATAAGGTTCAAGTTGTTCAAATTTTTTCAAACGAATTATAACAATAAATTCTTTTGGTCCGGATAAATTGTTTTGAGGTTTTTTGGATCATTATCAACAATAAAGGTCTGTTATAAGTTTTCTCTAAAGTTGATCTTTTTCGAGTAATAAATAATTTTTGAATCTTAAAAAAACGCAAAATGACGATTTTCAAAGCTCCGAAACACAAGTAAAAACTATTATTTTTAAAATCATTAAGTGCCTAAATTCAAATTCAAGCCTTCTTCTATCAGCTCCCTAAAAAAAAATGAAACAGAAATGTTGTTTCTTTCTATAGTACTTGAACTAGGTAGTTAACTTTTTGTTGTAGAAAACTGTCGAAACAAAAGAAAGGTGGGAAATCACCAAACTTTAAGTGATGATGAAAAAAAACTATTACTTCAGTGTGTCAGCAAATTTCAGTTACATAAATATTATGAATCTGTATACACTATTAAAGCTGCAATAAATGATAAATGGACCCAGTTGTCGAAAATATTCAAAGTGAAAGGCTATGAAAGGCCAGCTGAAAAGTTAGCGAATAATTACTTGCCTCTTAAATTTCAGGCAATGTCGAATATAAACAATTTTTATATTCACAGAAGTAGCGTAAGACCCAGAAAACTAGATTATATATTTGCATATTTATTTCCGAAGTATTTTGAGAACCTCAGCTTGGATATGAACGAATTGATGGCTGATGTAAGTACAATCTTTATAAATATAAAAATTCCTTGTCACGATGTTTGTTAACATACATGCCAAAACCACTAAATGGATTCCAATGTAATTTTGTGAAAGTATAAATATTTAGTACAACTTAAATGATAGGATATTTTTTATTTTGATAAATGACTCTAATTTTTTAATTTTAAATTCAAGATTGTTTATAAGAATCCACCTCTACAGTTGTAGGTAATATAAAAATCTATATGTAAAAATTAAGTGACATTTAACAAACGTCATTTTACATTTTTACATATCTGTAGAAGCCTAAGCAAGGTTTAAACGGTATAAAATATGAAATTGTAAAGAAACTTGTAAAAACAAGTTTATTTTACCCTACAAACAGTTCATACAATATTCTAGCACTGCAGTTCATATAATATTCTATAAACGTCAACTTTTTATGTTCCTGATACATTTTCCCAATTATTAAATTGTAGGCTAAAATACATTCACTGGAAATCTTGGGAAGTTTAGCTTCTACCGAAGATCAAGAATGCCCTACTACATTAGAGGATATAGCATCCATAGGGTAAGTTACATTACCCTACCCTTTAACAAAAATTTATTGGTGACCTTAATCATTAAGCCTACGGTTTTTTAACTATAATTAAGAGCCTTTTCCCATAGTCCCCAGTGGCCCACCTATGGAATTTGTAGTTTAAGTCAATTACCATAGAGAAATTATACTCAGCATAAGTTCCCATATTAACTAATATGGCATTTTTATTAATATTTATTAAAAACAGTAATCATACGGTTTTTTATTTATTTTCAACAATGAAAAAAATTCACTAAACCTATCTTGATTTATTCATAATTATGTTAAATATAGAGGTAGCAATGGAAAAATGACATCAAAACAATAATATTCTCAGTAATGTATTTTGTAGTATTGTACAGCTTTTTGCCATTTGTGGATTGTACAATGGGTCGAGGTAAAGTTATTGATGAGAAAATTTGTTCATCATTATTAGATTTTTTAATTCTGGAAAATCCTATTTGGAAATCGCGAATATGTTGCAATTGTCACGCTACAGTGTAAGAAATATAGTCAGAAGATACAAAACTACAGGTTAGGTCGTCACAAAACCTAGAAATGTATGTAAAAGTAAAATAACGAAGTAAAATCAGATCGAAGAGCATTAAGACACATTATAGTGAAAAATCGACCAGCAAATTATATGGAGTTAAACATTTCATGGAGTGACGTTATTGGAAGACACGTTTCTAGATCAACATGTCACCGAGAGGCCCACAAATTATAATTTGGTACTTACAAAGAATATTTTATAGTTGAAAAACTTAGTACGAATTGTTTTTAAGAAATTTAACTTTATTTTAGGCTAAGGAAAAGCCAATTTTAACATTACAAGAGAAAAATAGACTAAGATGGTCAAAAAAGCATAAAAATTGGACTCAGTCGCAATATTTTAACATTAACATTAACATTACAAGAGAAAAATAGACTAAGATGGTCAAAAAAGCATAAAAATTGGACTCAGTCGCAATGTAGTTCAATATAATGGAGTAATGAGTCCAGATTTGAAGTGTGTGTTGGAGACAGTAGGAGTCTGTCTGAAGAGAAAAGTCAAATTTCCTGCATCTGTCTGAGGCAGAATGTCGTCTAAAGGTATGGGAAACTTACATTTTATCAATGGTATTGTAAACACGGAGAAATTTATTTTATTTATTTATTTATTTACTTAGACACCTTACAAACACTAGATACTAATAGTAATTACATGTAAAGTGATTAAGACAAAAAAAATACAATAAATGAATGAAAGAAACAAACATTAATAATACAATAAGAAAAAATATAATAAACCACTTAAACCTAGTGCTGATGATCAAGCAATGTCATAAGTTCACAGCTTTTTACATTAAATATATCCACATGAGTCAGTCTATTAAATACTTCATTACAAATTTTTAACATATTGTTTATTGGTGATATGCTTCTATAGTAATTTGTAAAGAATAGATCTAGGTTAGTTATCCTTAACTTACTCTTGGGTACTCGTAAAGTAAATAAACTCAACTAAACCACAGTTTGTGTACTTAATACTGTTAACAATCAAGTATATGAACATAATGGCCTAACTGTTTCTTCTCGTGGTAAGTGACTGCAAATGAAATGAATCTAACATTATCCTGTATGAGACCACAAATAGATATTTCTTATATTTCCTTACATAATTATAGAATTCTTAAAAATCGTTTTTGCACTTTTTCAATCATTTCTAAGTTTGAAAATACAGTAGGAGACCAGATGATTGAAGCATATTCCAAATGTGGTCTCACCAAGCCATTATAAAGTTTTATAATTGTGTTTATTCTGAAATTTATGTTATTTCTAATGACAAAAACCAAAACATGACAACCTCTGTTAGTTATTTCATAAAAGCGTATATTGAACTTCATGTTGATTTGAAATTTAACTCTAAGATCCTTCATAACACTCACTTGCTCAACTCGATCATTATTAATATAATAATCTTCGATAACACTATTGAGTTTTCACGTATATGAAACTACTGCACACTTTTTAACATTAAGAGTCATTTTTGAATCGTTAAACCATTGAATATCTGATCTTAGATCATCTTGCAATTTGACTGAAACTTTCTTATTAGAGATTGTTTTAAAAAGTTTAAAATACAGTATACAGAATGACCAACTGTTCCCCTTCCTCAATAGCCTTAGCAATATGTTCAGAGAAAACACATAGATTAGTTACTGTTGATGTGTCTCTTACAAAACCATGCTGGAATTTGCTGATTTTACTCTTAACATGCTCATATATATCATCATAAAGAATACTTTCAAAAATCTTAGCAATACTATTTTAACAGGCTGATGGGCCTGTAGTTTTAAATGTTTGTTTTTTTTTTCTTTTTTATGTATTGGAGAAATTGTTAAAATATCTGGAAAATATTCCTGTTCAATCAACATATTAAACAAAAACGCCAAGGGTTCGGCCATTCCCTTATAGATATAGGGTGGTATTTCATCAGGGCCTGTAGATTTTTTCGGTTTAAGTTTTTAAATATTTGAATATTTTAGAAGAATTTCTTACCGATTAACATTTAACATCAGTGGAAAATTTTATCTTATAACAGGACGGCGCAGGTTGTCATACCTCAATAAAGAGTTTAAAATGGATTAAAGACCATGGCATACCACTTCTTGGTTTCTAACAGTACCTGATAAAGACTTTGTGACGCAAAATGAAAAAAGGTTTGAGAAAACATCCTGCCAGGTCTGTCAACGAATTATGGAAGAATAAATATGGGCTTTGTTTACATTGGAGTTTTGTCAGAACTTGGTAAAACTATGCCTCGAAGAATTGTGGATGTCATTAAAAACAAAGGGGATGTGACTCAGTAGTAAACTTTCACATTTTTTTTTTGTTAATATTACATATTCTACGCATTTTTTTTAATTTATTATTATTCTGTTTAATCAATAGTTTTCATTTCGTTATAAAATATTTTCTATAATTAGGAAATTTTAAAGTTTCTAAAATTTACGCTGTGCTTTTTGTTCTCTAAAATTTAATTTTCTTATCAATCTAACTTTGTGCTAACTGATATGGTAAGGAGCTCGTAAATATGCATAATGATTCAGTCTTTTTTTTTAGTTAATCATCCTTTTTTACATTATTTACCTTTTACTCCATTTCTAATTTTTCTAGCCTATTTTTTTATCGTATAGCTATTTTCTCATTTTTGTATTTTATAAAATATTTTTATTTTATAGACATTTAAATGACGTAGAACCTCTACCAAATTTAAGAAGACCTCATTCCGAGGCAGGCGAAGAACCAGCAAATAAAATCGCCAAAGTGGTCCATGAAGACGAAGATGCTTGGCTCAAAAGAATGTTGGATATAACACGAGGAAGAAACAACTGTGATGCTACATCTAAATCTTTAATAAGTGAAAATAATTCTTCAACAGATGATATAAATACACTTAAAGCCAAACTTCTGGATATAGAAAATAAAATGAAGGAGAGGGATCATCAGCTTGAACTCAAAAATTTAGAAATTTCATATTTGAAAGAACTTCATGCGAAGGACTTAGAAATAGAAAAAATGAAATTTGCAGTGCAGTGTCAAAACGTTGAAAATAAAAACTAGATTTGGTTGTTTTAATATTTTATTTACCAAGTTTTTTCTATTGTACTAATAATTTTTTTAAGTAACCTGTAGGGGAGAGTGGGGCTCCTTTAGACATAAAAATTTGAACTGTCATATCACTCTAAATACCTCACCAAATAAAGAGAGAAAATATTCATAAAATACATTGTTCACCCAACTTTCACTGTATATATACTTTTAATATTAAACCTATTGACTGGCCAGTTGGTTGTCAAAACCAGTCCCAATAAAACACACACACACACACAATATTAAACCCTATACTTGTAAAAAAATCAAAACCACTTTTTCAAGAACGTCTGAAGGTGCCCCACTTGGGGTTACCTTCAGATGAGGAATGGGGCAGCTTCAGAGACAATTAACAAAATGACAACCTCATATAAATGTTTTAGAAATTATTTATTAGGTACAATATTAAAAACTATATTATGATACTTAATCAAACCCCTAATGCATATTGAAGTTTTCCAATGAATCTGAAAAACTGCTCAGGAGTTGGTAAAACGGCTACAATTTCTGATAAAGAAGCACTAGAGATATGGGGTAGAAAAGTTTATAATTTATTTTGTATGACATTCTCAAAAATGACAGTTCAACATCCCCATTTTAACATCACATTTACCAGTGATTCTCCCAACATAGTACACATATTTTTGTTTTACAATCCCAAATTTAACCAGCACAAAATGTATGATTTTTGCTGTGGTTCTTCTAATACTTTATCATCAGAGTTTTTGCCATTTCCATCATCAGTTGTCTTCTCATTTTCAAAAAGTAGTTTTCTTTTCGTAGATTTAGTACGTTCAGCATTGTTGGTGGTTTTCTTTGTTTTTTTATTGATCTGTTTTTCTACCAGAAGCTTTTCTGGATTCTTGGAGCTAGTATTCAGTTTCGATTTTGGATATTCTCGTATCTCCTTAGGACTTAAATAACAGCCATGCTGTTGAGAGGGCACAGGTGTAGAGTTTCGGCAGCATGATGTTGATAGAGTGTCTATCTATTGGTTGCTAAAAGTTTTCGCTTGAAATTTGGGGAGATAAGGGTGGTTTTTCAGATTCTAAAGTTGGTAGACTTGCAGCTAGTTGTCATGTTAGAGGTTCATCCGGAAGAGTTTCGTCTGGAGGATTCGGTTTCTCAATGAATAAACTAGGAACAAACATATCGTCGATGAAAATGTGCCTGTCAACTGGAAATATTCCTGTTTTTTTGAAAGAATTTATAATGTTCTTTGGTAACATGGCACGGCTATGCGGGCTATGTGCTATTCCAACACATGCGGCCACGTGATAGATTCCAAAACATTGGCCTGGGTTACTGCCTTTACATCTAGGCTATGCAAGTCCGTCTTGCATGGCACATCTCTTGCCTAGCTTGACCTTTTTACATCAGAGATATTTCTGTGCAATTTTAGATCCCACTTTCATTGTTGCCAACAGAGAAAATATTTATCAATTTGAGGTTATTTTATTTTTAATAAATATAATTAAGTAATATAATAAATAAATATACACTAATTATGGTTATTAAAAGGGTGAAGGATGTCAACCAAAGAAAAGAAAACATTGTTGAATATTGCTGTTTTAGCAACAATCATGAAAAATAATAAAAAAAGAAAACCTTGGTTGAATGCAGGACTGGGAAATTTAAAGTTACCCCAAGAGTTCATGGATGCTAGAGACCTTCAAAGTTTTAAAAACTTTCTTCGAATGAACGAGTCCACTTTCCTTAAGCTCCTTGATACTCTTGATAGAGATAAGGTTATGTTTTATTCTGTAATCTATTATAAATTGTTGTGTTGGCAACATGAATTTTAACGATAAATTGCAAGAAAATAGCATGAAAAATAGAACATGTTCTAATTTTTCGTCTAGCACAGGAATTGCATGGAAATAGCCCGTGGGCATGCGCAGTTCCATGATCTGTCTTGCATGGCTCTTGCCTAGCATGAAAATAGCATAATGTAAAACTGTCTTTAAAGACAGGAAGGAAGGGCATATCAAAAACTCCTGTCTAAATAGATTTTATGTACCTATCTATACAAATTTAAAGTAAAAAGGGCAAATTAGGTAAGTAAAAGGGTAATTAAAAATTTTTTAAAAAAACCATTTCAAGTTGAATTTATTTCAAAAAATGCGAACACTGCAGTAAAGAAGTGTAAGTTGCATATATTTGGCGCAAATAAGATTCTTATGTCTATGAGAAACATGCGCATAAAATTGAAATTAAGAAGTGTTGTCAAGTGCATATATTTGGCTCAACTCTAACATTTTCAGCATTCCAGCCAAATTTTAGAGATTATAATTTATAAGATTTGCCAACGGTCTGCACAATGTTTTCTTATTATTCAAAGCAAACAAGAAATAACTATTTTTAAAGGAGATTATAATAAAATGAGAATTAAACATATTTATTAGATTAGAGTTACATAAACAAATTATTATAAATTTTAGTAAAACGTCTGATTCTATTTCACAGAACAATTTGTTTTACAAATGCTTAACAGTGATTAGTGTTCCCATTCAAGATTTAATATGCAAGTTTTTTCAACCAAGTGTCACTCGTATTTCGAAACTATTGCACTTAGCAAGATGAATCTAACGACATTTTACTTTTTAGATGTCTCTCTAAGGTCGGTATTACAACCAAAAATATTGTTATTTAAAGAAATTTATAAAAAATTAACCACAAAATCTCTAGGACTTTCAAACAAACTAATGGCGTTCCCCAAGGGTCCGTATTGAGTCCTAGACTCTTTATATATATATATATATATATATATATATATATATATATATATATATATATATATATATATATATATATTATATATATATATATATATATATATATATATATATATATATATATATATATATATATATATATATATCCGGTTTTTTAGGCGTTACGCCTGTCCGGTAAGGATCTATGGAGGAGTATCACCGAGCCGCAAGCCCTTATCTCTTGCCGTACTGCTCCACCATAGGCGGATCAGATCCCAGCATATCCTAGTCTAAGCCGCAGATTCATCTAGAATTTTAAACTGCTGCGTTAGACTTTTTGTTTTCTGTACACCGAGCTTGGGCTCGATCCCACATCCACTAAACCATTCGACAGTGAAGCGAATGAGAGGCAGCCGCACAGCCCGCTGAGCTATCTGACCGACTCTTTATACTTGTTTTAAACGATACATGTACAAAAATTGAGCTTTCAGTAAAGTTTGAACCTACGCAGATGATTTAATAATTTTATGCTGAGGCAAAGACACTGTTGCCACTTGAAACTACTTCAGAATGCTACTGACCAATTGCTTGAATGGATTTCAGTAAATGGATTTAACCTTTGTGTTGAGAAGACAAGAATCAGTACTAAAAGATCCTAAAATTGCTATAAATGGTACTTGTCTACGAGCAGTAAAGAGTATACGGATATTATAATATACTCATATTCGACAGTAAACTTATTTGGAAATGCCATTTAACAGATTTCAAAACTAAGTGCATGACGAATCTTAACATTTAAAAACTTTTTATGATAATAGAATTAGAAAACAGGATAAAATTACGAATTTATATAGTAGAAGAGTAGGGATAGCACCAATTCATGTCAAAATTAGAGATCATATCATAAGATGGTCACTCAACATACTGTACACTCATAATGTAATCACTCAACGCGAATAATTGCTGAAATGGATGTTTCTGAAAGTAAAAAAAGAATACAAAATGATGTAAATAATTGAAAAATCTTTTATTCATTTGTTAATAATTTTACAGAATCTAAAAAAAGCGTAAAAACCCCAAAACCAATACAAGATTACTTTCGGGTCCAACATTGAACCATTATTAATAATTTAATTGCCTATTATTTTAATTTACCATCAAAAAGTTAGTCATCACCAAATGTAGATTTTGTAGAATCCTCAATAACTCCTTCCTCTTCTATAATAATTTTCCTATTTTTAGGACTATCTATATCATTATCAAAGTTTGTTTCATCGTCAGTTTCACTCATGATCTTCCTGTACATTTCCTCAAAGTCTTCATCAGTTTTTTCTTCATTGTCTATTTTATTCCTTTCTAATTTATAATCTTCAGACATACTTTCACCTGCAAGTAGTTCTTTTAGCTGCATAAATCCATCGTCTTTCCCCAATTGCAAATAAGAAGATTTTTCTTTAAACCCTAGCTGTTGTTTTTCTTCTTCCTTTCGCAATGTCGTTAATTGTGTATCTAACGACTGGAGTCGTTCTTTTAACAAAAAGCAATTTAGCTGTTCGATTTCTTCTTTATTTGTGTCAATATCTTTTTCGTTTTTCTTTTCATCAAGTGTAAACTTTTCTAACTCAAAATTAATATCTTTCAATCTTTTTTCGTCATCTTCATTAAACATATACGCGTTTTTCAATTTGTTTAAGGTAGCTGTGAAAAAAGAGGGTTTATTACTATTCTGAGGACATTCAAAGTCGTCATTTCCAAGCAAGTTTTCCAGTTTAAACTTTTCTTCGTCGGTTAAGGATGAATTTGCAAGCATACCTGCCTTTGCTAGTCCGATATTTCTCATAATAAAATCATTAGGCTTACAAATTTCTTTAATATGTTTTTTCTGACTACAAGCAACAGCGTTATTGTCCTTTTCATCGTCTGTATCAAGAAACTCAAATTGGCATAGATTTAAAAACAGTTCGTCGTCTTTTCCCACCAATTTATGACTTGTTGCGATTTCGTTACACATTTCAAATTGGGTTTTTAATCTGTCTTCTTTTTCTAATTTATATTCGCTTATCATTGTGCTGATTCCATCATCAAGTTTTTTAATATTACTTAGTTGTTCTTGAACTTCAGGTGTGTGTTTTAAATGTTTAAATAATTTTTCTTCATCTACATCTAATTCTTCTGTAAATACTAAATTCTGTAATACTGGTGTATCTTTCAGTCCTTTAACTTTACCCATCATTTCAGAATAGAAGGAATGAAACTCTTTTAAGAAGTTTTCGGTGGTTTGATTTTCGTTCACCATTGTTATTTTAGAAGTACTCTGGTTCTGGTTTTCATAGTCGAAGCCAAAGGTTGTGAATCCTGGAATAGTCGAATTTTGTAGGTAATTATCTAAATAATTTACGTGGTCTATATCAGTTAGATCTTCCTCTTCATTTGTACTTGCACAAATTGCTGTGTACTTATCATAATCGTAGTCACCATCCATTTCCATGAAGAATGTTGAAATATATTAAAATGTCAAATTTAACAGAAAATATGACAAAATAAACTTATTTATTTATTATCCTCTTATAAAAACAACAAATATAAGGTATGCTAATGAGTAAAGTGATAGGTATTTGTTTGATCGATAATTAAGAGACGTTTTAATGTTAGATATTTGTTCATTAGTGTCGAAAGGGATAAAACACTTGCTAATATACAATAAAAAAAACTTAAATAAAAATAACCTGGCAATTAAGTACAATTTTGCATTGGAATATTTATCTTTCAATTTTGTGCCTGCATCACCCTTTTTTCATTCTGGTGCCTGCATATCCACGCAGAAAAAATAGACATTTGACAATAGAATAGAAATGACAGGTGACGTCACGTCAAAGGCATGGCATTGGCAGAAAAAACAAAATGACCGACAAATTGTAATTTGGAAGGAAGAAAACCAGTGTGAAAAACTCATACAATTTAAATAATTTAAGCTATTATTAACCAAAAATGAATTCATTGATGAATTATGGTAGCGATGATGACTTGGATGATGTTGCCGAAGAAGCTGCCGTGGTATGTGTCAAATTATTTTTATTAGTAAGTTGGACGGCTTCTGTCCATGTTGATATTGATCAACATATTTTGAATTAATTATTAAATCGTTTTACCGACTAAATATACAATTATTTTTACTATAAATTGGGTTTTCAGATATTTCGGCATATTCATATACTGAATATGTAATGTTACAGCATATTTAATTACTTTTTTATGCAGTCAGATACTCAAAAGAAATAAACAAAATGAGTAAACATAAAATTATAATCCAACATTGCATTACATAATAAATACCAAGTTAACATTTATTCTTATGGATGGAAGTTCCTATTTATTGCTTATTAGGAACTGATCTAAATTCAGTTACAGACAATCCTAGGTTGGAATCATAAAATAGTTCTAGAATAACATTTACTTACTGATTCCTTAGCGCTCAATACACTTAATAAACTCATTTCTAATTAATTCCATTCCAAATTTGCTACAGACTTCTTTTAAATTTAGTAATATGTAAAATATAATTTGTATACAAAAAATATCATTACAAAAGTAATATACCCACAGTAATAGATCATATATTTTTTTGATCATTTTCTACAAATTTGAACAGAATGGAAAATATCTTTGAAACATATCTCTAAAAGAGTATATCTTTCAATTTGCTTTTATTATATACTAATTAATTATTTGCCAAAAAATAGTTCGATCATCACCCACAATTATTGACAGGATCCCTACGGTGGCAGCACCAGAAACTTCAGGAAGCCCTTAAGTGCCCAGCCAAATGATGACACCAACTATGATGAAGTCCAGATGAGCCTCAGCGAGGTAAACATATATCATTTGTATTTAGTTAACTGAAAAAATTCTTTTGAATAATTTTTATATTAAATTGTAATTAAAAATTTGGCAATTGAATTTTTTTTCATCATACAACAATTTTGTGTGTAGTAACTTATTTCAAATTCTTAAAGGAAGCAGTAAATCACAAAAGGTAGAGGAAGGTTGAGATGATGAGAAGTATTTTAGTATTCATAATGTGATATATCTTGGTAGCACTGTTATTTCCAGTTATAAACAACTTGTTGTGTTTGCTTAGTAAAATTTAATTATTCTTGTTTCTCATGACTTTTTAACATCATCGTAGGGTCTTCTATGTGTTCTTTCATAATCATTGATACAACATTATAGCCATGGTAGTTTGGGAATGTTTAGCTGTCAGATGAAATGAAGAGGAAAGTTATATCATGTGTTTTTAAACACAAAAAAATATATTTGATGCAATAAAGACCATAACCACCAAATCTCCTACTGGAATGACCAAAATTCATGAACCATCATCATCCTGCTAGCTTTACAACCCCGTGTGGGTCCTAACCTCCTCAAGAATTTCTCTCCAGTAGTCCCTATCCATTGCCTTCCTCCGCTAAGCATGTATTTCCATATTTTTCATGTCTTCATCAATGTTATCAAGGTTATCATTGGAGTATAAGTTATCACATATAAAAAAGACAGTAAAAGTTCATGAGTTACAAAATCATAATTCTACAGTCAATAGAGCTGAGGACATATCTAATTAAATCAGTACTTTACAAATGTAGGAAAATCTGTAGCAAATAACATATCATCCCCATCAAATCCTCCAGTCGATATTTTATACAGCCAGTAAAATATCTATTTGAATGGCAACAAGTCTCCGGAAACCATATTAGAGAGATCATAAGAAAACTAAAAAGAAAATCTCCAGGATGCACTGGCTTTTTTTCTTCTTCGCATGCCATATCAGAATTATCCAACATTCGCAATCACCCTTGCGAAGGCTTCTCAGTTTTCTGCAATATGCAATGGCTTTAGTGTGGATATTAGTAGAGAGTTTTCAGAGAAGCTGCTACCGATTGTAAATAAATTAGTTAACCAATCTCTTCCTACTGGAATAATCTCAAACTCTATGAAAATGGTGATAGTAGTACGATTGTATAAAGGTGGGAGCCATGTCAAAAATCTTGGAATCTCTCTCTCTCTCTCTCTCTCTCTCTCTCTCTCTCATGTGTAAATAACCAACTTGTACAATTCTTTCATTTATCCAGCTACTGATTTAACAGACAGTAAGGTTTTAGATATAATTCAAGTACAGTCTCAGCTGCTACTGACTTAATTACAATTACAGACATAAGCTCGAAATAAAGAAGATAGCCTCTGGGAGATAGAAACAACTACATCCTCTATTACTAATGATTCATTACTAGTAAATATGCCAAACTGACAAACATTGTGTAACAACATCAATGAACCCTTTAAAGAAAAATAATTCTATGAAACCATAGAGCTTGTTTAGGCTTTACCATATTTTCAGCAATCTTCTTGTTTTGTGAGTCCCTCATAATTTTCCTGTGAAATAAAAGATTTAACATCCAATATCAACTAAATTTGTGAAGGTCTTGATAATACCAGTAATTATCCTACAATTTTAAATAAAGTTTTACACAAAAAATTGTTATATATGAAATTTTCCAAATAAATTAGTTGTCTTAACATTGCTATACACAAAAAAACATTGCTATATTTTAATTTTTACCACTCAAAAGTTAATAAACAAAACAATAATGTTAAAACATCTACATTTATATTGATACTGAATGGATAACATGTATAAATATATACAATGCTACTCTTTCATACTATTTTCACTTTCTACTCTCAATTCATTTATATATTGTTTGATAAATTAGAAATTTGAAGTTAATATTCTTTGGACTTTATTGTTGTGCGATTCCAGAGATTCACAAATATTTCTTATAGATATAAAAAACAACATATTCTTTTGCTGTTATATTAATGATCACTTTCAAAACTAAATGTGCCAATAAAGTGGGTACCATAATTCTTTTTACAATTAAAAATATTAGACAGAGTTAAGGGAGTTAGTTATAGGTGGGAAACAATGTGAATTTTAAGAACTAATAACATCATCATCATCATCATCATAAGTGGCTCGACAATCCGTTGTGGATAGTGGTCTGCTCACAAAGGAGTTGCCACTCCTGTTGATTCCTGGCAACTTCCCTCCATCTTCTGACCCTTAGAATCTGTAGGTCTTGTTCCACATCATCAATCCATCTCCTTCGTGCTCATCCTCAACTTCTTGTGCCCTCTGGTTTTGATTTGTCCCCTCAAGTAATAACGTAGTCTCTCTGAGTAAGTCACGATCTTGCTCTAGTTTGTTTTTACTCTTTTCCAGATCATTTGCACAACATGTAGGTGATCGTCCATTACCTATTTTGCTTTATTCAATACTTGATACTGTTTATTCATGTTAAAAATATAAAATCTTCAAATTTTTCAAATTTGTACAACACCTCAATTAAAATAAAAATAATAATTGTACATATTCCTGAATTGATAAAAGGAATTTTTTATCAATATTTCTTTATCTTTATTTTCAAATTGCTTTTTAGGCCAGTTTCTTATATTTTCAGGCAGAACATTAAAACATTTTATTGCCCAATACCCTGGTCCATTTTGACACCTTTTCAAACGCCAATATCATCATCATCATCATCAACTTGTATGCGTCCACTGCTGGACATAGGTCTCCCTCAGCTCTTTTCATCTGTTCTCATCTGTTTGTGCCTAGTATCATAATCATGCTGATCTTCGTAAATTCTATAAAGACTGGCATTCCTATTCATAAATAGAAAGTTTTCTAGAATGTACTGTGCTGGTAAAGTAAGAATTCCCAATCTTCCATAAGCCTGGCAGCAGGCTTCCCTAAATCCCAAACCAGCAAGGACCCTCACTGCGTTTCTCTGCAGACCAAATACTCTGTGTCAGCTGCATGACCCCAGACAAGGATAGAGTATGAAAGATGTGAGTGGAATATGGAGTAATAGTACAGTATTGATAATATCCCGAACTATATTGAAAGTGACTCCTGAGAAAGAAAATTGATTTAATATATTTATTTGAGTTATATCTATTTCATTCAGATTTGAAACTGGGATATCTTTGATCAAGTTGCATGCTATCTGTAAAAAGTAATCATTAAAGATATTTGGACTAAAGCCTCCACTACCTGTCAGTTCATCTACTTTATTCCGTAATGATTGCATATCTGCATGTAGAATCTTTAGGTTAACATTTCGATACATTTTTGGCAAAGTAACGTAAGTCACCAAAAACTATTTGTAGAAAAAACAATTTTTTAATTAAACCTGGTTAAACTTATTTAAATTATGACTAAAAATTGTCCTACTTGTCCTAAAAAAGGTTTAAATTAATTCTAGGCTTACTACACTTTGGCAGTACCTTTTTAACAATAATAGTGTTAGTTTAATTGAAAAACATGATTTTCGCCAAAAGTGTCACTTACGTTACTTTGCCAAAAATATATCGATTTGTTTCATGCATGTATGTGGGATTTTAGGGGTACCTTCCCCTGGTTCTGTAGATTCAGAAAATGGTTAACAGTTGGTGAACATAAATACCTAGGTTGGTCTTCCATTGGAACTGCTAATTTGAATGGGCTGCAATATTTGCCTCTTCTAGTTTTTATTCTCTCACACTTTCAGTTAGCACCCAAATCACAGAAATTCAGAAAGTCCACAATGTTTTCAGTGTAATCTCTGGAGCCAATCCAGCGACAAAGAGGAATGTCATTTTTCTGTGCTGCTGAGTGGTTTGAGTTTATTTGTTTGGATTAGATCATTGAACCGTTTTTTTAACTGTTTGAACTTTGAACTACTACATTGAACTGTTTTCCATCCATTATTTTTGTTACTAACCTCTTCTGTTGATATTGTTGTGCGTCATATGTCAGCGGTATGCCTGGAATATGTTTATCATGTATTATTTTTATCAGGTTTTGTGTGGCTAACAGTCAGTACATTTTGACTATTTGGATTTTTGATCATCATTGCAATTGCTGCACGTGCACCATGGTTAAAGCTGCTCTAGTCTCGCAAGCATCTTGGGGCACAGCTGGCGCATTTAGCTCGTCGTTTTGTTAATTTATTCTTCATCAGTATTCCAATATCTTCTCCGCCCAACTGCCATTGATTATTATGCCACATTGGAAGCTAGTCCCACCACATTTTGGCAATTCTTTTGGTGGTGAATAATCGAGCTGCTGATGTGATTCCATATTGAATCTTTACAATATTGTAATTGTAAATCATGAAATTAGTATGGTTGAAAACAATAAAAATGTAATTTTGATTGATACTTTAGTGACAGAGTGCGTTGTATTTGTTATTATAGGGTATAGCAAAAAAGTTGTTTACAAAAATAAGAGGTATGCTCGTTTATTGTAAATAAATAAACAATTAATGTAATGCTATTATAAAACACCAAACGGAATGCAAACAACAAAGTCTAAAAAATATCAGCCATTGTCAATTTAAAAACAAAACGATTTTTTATCTACTTAAATGAAGTTGAATCTTCTGATATTAACTTACTCTGTTAATATATATAAAGAACTTGTAACCTGAGCCTCAACAAAGAAAAGTCAAAAGTGGTCAACAACAACAATCCTTCGGTGAGTATCAAATTAGGGAAGGTGACAGTTATAGAATATTTGTCAGCTTTGAGACATGCAGGTAAAATATGATTTGTTCTGCCTTAATTTTAAAAGTGCATTTTTCGGATAAGGCAACAAGGAACACTTAGTAATTAAATTATTCTTTTATTTTTTTTGCTATTAATCATTTTTTTGACAGTTTTTGTTAAATGGTTTACAAATGAAGTTTTAAAAAAAATAGTCCTTAAAGCTATACTTTTCTGTTGATTTAGTAAAAACAGTCAATGATTTTAAAACTGTTTTTCGTCTCAGTAAAACTTTTGACAAATTTTTGAAATAATTTTTTAATGAACACACCATTTTTATTTAATTTAATCAATAAAGCCAACCGTTAGATATAGAAGTAGCTTAATCATTTCATATTACTTTCACTATATTTACAATACAGTTGTAATTTACTGTTTATATTAGGCGTTTTCTTATTATTATTGTGTTGTTTCTCTGATTCTTCTTTTCCAAATGCCTGATCTGTCTGTTATATTCCATGTTTTTCTGCGTCTTATCTAACTTGTCCATTCGAATATAACCGCGGTCCTGACTGTATACGTTTTTGCTAATCTTTCGTCATTCATTCTGTCTTCATTTCTAAATTTGCTGTTACTGTGGGTATTTCGCATCATATCTTTTTTTGTAAATACTTCTAATCAAACTTTAGTGACGGATTTGGCAACAGCGCGTTGAGTAAAGTAAATGTGTGATAAATTCTCACCTGATTATCTGAGTATCCCGATTTGTGTGAATATGTCTCTAACGGAGTATGGATGTAAGGTTAAGGAATTTCAAAGGAAACTTATTCAGTTACGAAAAGATATACTGAATATGTCAAATGTCACCTACATACCATGTCTTGCGTCAAACGCTACATAAAAATGTTACATAATTCGGTCGGATAGAAGACCAAACGGTGTATCAACTGCTGTCAACTTAAAAACAAAATAAATATTGCTTTTAAAGGATAAAACCACGTTCTTTGTCGCATAAATGTCACGTCATACGTCAAATGCCACATAAAAATGTCGGGTTTTAGTCAAATGTCACGTTTTACGTCAAATGTTACATTTTACGTCAAATGTCACGTTCTGTACAACCTTGTCACTCAGTCGTTGACACAAGATTTGACAGACGAAAGAAGAAGAATGACAGTTAATATTGAACGCTGACAGAAGAAGAATTGACAGTTGATTTATGTGTTGCCACCGCTTTCATTTGACACCCCATACGTCAAACTCAGACCAATAGTAACGAACATACGTTATAGCGCCCATTTGGCTATGCCGCTATCCTTGTTTTTTTGCCTCAACGTATTCGTTGTCCCCTTCTCTTTCCAACGAGCCCTCGTAGGTCACAATCGGACCAATAGAAACGAAATACAATATAATGTCCTTTTGGCATGCTTCGATGCGCACGACACGTACTGCGTTCAACCCCATTTTTCATCCCCTTTCAAACCATACCTCACACGTCATCCTACGTTAAGCCGTTTGGCATTTATGACCGGGCGTTGCGATTTTAAGGGAGGCGATTTAGGGTATGTGCTCAGAACCGTGTAGTCTATCTAGTCGTGTATTAAGAATATGACGCTTGCATTTCAAGTTACAAAGTAAACAATTATCCGATATTTGAAATATACACAATCTTCCAAATAATTATTAAATAATACATAAAAGAAAAAAGAAATGAAAAACGCATCTACTACGTTTCCCTATCTTTACAAATCGTTTCTCCCACTTAACTTCAGTATTTCGTTCCTGGAAGCGTTTTTAAAAACCCTAAAACAACAATCTTCTTTTTCTTAATCATTATTTGATATTTACAAATGCAACACTATTATAATATTCACTTTCGCAGTTACTGAATGAATATCAAGTTTACAATCATATCGCTGGGGTAGTCCGGTTACTCGAGGCGAAAGTACAGCTTTTTGCGCACTTCATCATAATTTTTCGTTTATAGTTGTATTAGATCTTTTTAAGCCAGGTAGTTATCGAAAAATTCTCAAAATATTTATTTAAAAACTTCTTACAAATAATCGTGCTACCGAAAACTATGTACTTGTTCGTATGTCTTTTAGTAAACAAGCAATTGAGTTATAGTTTATAAAAATCCTATACAAATACGACCGTTTTTTGATTACCTAAGTGTTCTTTCAACGATTCCACTTCATTATTTAAAAATTCATTGTTATCCTGTTCGCTAGATGATTTGGTAAATCCAGCAATAGGTAAGAGAGTCTTTTTCCTCCAGGACTCTGATGCTGAAATGAGATCATCGTCGAAGTATCGAGACCGAGATCGTGACGATAAACGCTCCAGTCCTAGGGGAAGCAGAGACGTGAGAGATAAAGATAGGAGGGACGATAGGTCAGACAGGGATAGATACAGCGGAAGAGATAGGAACGACGATCGATCCAGCAGGTAATAATTTTTTTTAACTATTACAAAGACTAATGTAAACTTATTTGTATAAACTTCTTAAACAATTAATCTTATGTCTTCTTGGGTGATGAAAAATTTGAATCAATGTGCAAACATACGAATTGGACACACGACACGACGGAAGGAGTGGAAATACGACGTGGAGTGAGGCAAGGATGTATTCTATCGTCTCTACTTTTTAATATCTACTCAGAATTTATTTTCAAAGAAGCCTTAGTTGAAGATATAAGCATTCAAATTTACGGAATTAATGTCAACAATCTCAGATATGCAGACGACACGATACTTCTAAGACATAACTTATGGTTGTCAACAAAACGGAGTTACAACCAACGAATATCAGAGCGTATGGAATAGGGTTAGAAAGAGTCCATAATATTGTGGATACAAGTGAATACAAGTGTACTAATTGTACAAGCAAGTAGTATAAGCTTGCTAGGGTGCATACTTGGCGATTACTCTAGAAATTGGCACATTGGCAGGAGAGTTAACACGGTTTTAATCCATGGAACTTACTGGAGTAATTAGTATGGTCGTAAATGTTTTGAAACCCCTAGAGTAGATAATGAATCCCTTTACTTACTAGTATTTGCAATTTCCCTTTCCTTACGAAAAATTCGATTTATTACAAGGTTTTTCGTCAAATTTTGCTCATAACTCAGATTAATTCGATTTCTACCAATCTCTCTTACAGGTACAGAGATGATGATAGATCTAGACATCGCGATGACAAAGATGACGATAGATCGAGACATCGTGATGACAAAGATGACGATAGATCGAGACATCGTGATGATAAAGAGGACAAGTATAGAAGTAAAGATGATGATAGAGGAAGAGATAGATCTAGAAGTCGAGATGATGACAAATCGAGAGATAGGAGAGACGATCGAAGAGACAGGTATTCATTTCCATACATGTACTAATGTTATTAATTTCTTTCTTCTAGTCGTAATATAGTATAAACATACAGGAATTCCATAAGTAAAACTTTTACACTAACTGTCATCTATAAAATCTTCAAAACTGTCACGTAATATTTTATTAACATACAATTTTTGAGGAATTGAGTTGAACTGATACATGCAAACTATATTCTTAAATCTTCAGCTTCATTCTTGAGCATTTGCTCGATAGATTCACTCGAAAGTAGGTTATAGACATTCTATAATACGGTAAACCAGATTTCTGCACAAACATTACAATTTTTAAGAGTTTACAATTCATAAATTGCAAAATGTATAAGGGACTCATTAACCTTTCCCTGTTTAGTGTTATTTATGTACACTGACGCGTTTTAAGCTCCAGTAATATAATCCTTTTGTCTTTTGGGCTCTTTTAGTACTTTTTCTTCATGGTTGGAGAAAGCAACATATTGTTTTTTGAAATTATGGGATTTTACGATGCTTTGTATGTTTGTCAAAACTCTATAGCGGGTTTTTCTTTTGTCCTGTCTTATTATAATTATTTTTTCTACTAGATTTCCCTGTATGTTTTTATTTTGCGTCTGGATTTGGCCTTGAACTTTATTAATGGAACTAATAGGTAAAAACTTGCCACTAACTTTAGTATTGTTTTTATTATTAAATTGTTTATTTGCGCTTTTTCCTTTTGCCTAGAGCCTAGTGGTTTTCTTTTAACACTTTTCATACAATTATTCAACGTTTCTATTTTTTTTATATATATAATCAGTCTCACTGTTTAATTTCTTAAGACATAGTCGGGATGATAGATACAGATCAGACAGAGACAGAAGAAGAAGCAGATCTAGAGATAGAGATAGAAGGCGTAGTAGATCTCCTAGACGTTCGAGATCGAGAGACAGACCTGGTAGAGGAGGTTTTCAAAGGAGATTTGATAGAGGAGGCAGAATGAGTAAACCAGGTAAGAAAAAGTATTATATTTAATCCGTTATATGTTGTAGTGAGAGATCAAATGAGATTTTTTATATATTTTGAGCAATAGTACGGAACTTGTTCATAAACCAAAGTTTATAATTGCTAAATGTCTGGGTGTAATATGGGACCGTTGGGGATGGAAAATTTTTGCCGAACGTTTAATGGTTGCCGCCAGGTGTGTACTAGTGAGTTGTAAGCCGCGCCCCTTTTCAAGATGACAGCTGCGTTCCTATTGGCCCATTGACATCATGTTGTTCGTAGCCATGCTCCTTAAGTCATTGTCAGCTGTCAACATGCCCAACTAACCAATTGACAGCTATGCTGGAACAACGTTGTAAACGCCAAATTACATTTTGTCGACAAATTTAAAAAACCTTAGGTTATACAAAACAAGAACATATATGCTATATTTTAATAAAACTACGTGTTAAATCCTCGTTGGTTAAATTGTGGTTTGAGAAATAAAAAATGGACTAAACGTGAAATTAAGGAACGTACATATTATTAATAAATTATTTGTAAACATATTTAATAAATTGGCATGTTTTTTTTTTTTAATTGGTAGTGGCCCTTCATAGGCTTCTGTAAGTTCAGCAAAAGTGACTTCAGTTATAGGCGTTTTAGTTGACTTAAAAGAATAAGATGACCATGGTTGAATAGTGTTGTGGGATTTTCTTAACCGTATAGTATTTGGATCATCTAAGCTAATTTGTATCCACACTGACTGATTTATTTTGCATTTTGGATCTTTCCATACTACATTTTCTACGTTGATAAAATTTTTAAAAAATATTTAATGCATGTGGGTAACTTAAAATGGGTTTTTAACTCTACCCTTTGCAATTACATCTGTCCACTGAAATGGGATATAAACCGATGAAAGTTTCTTTTTGCGTTCTGTGAGGGCAAAGTCTTTATCACAGCTGTGCCCAATAATTAGAAACTTTTGCTTAACTTGGGTGAAGTATTTTTGTAACAGTAATAGTCGAAGTAATGTTACGACTTTACGTTGTTATTTTGGCCGACACATCTATCTGACCAGATATAAAGTTTCCTTTCTTGGATTGGATCAAAACGATTGAAGTTTTCAGTTATATAAAGTAGCAATGCTGATACCCTTTCAGTGGAGCCTCGATGCGCCATTAGATCATTCCACAGTATCATTGTAGCAGTATTACTCCCCATATTATGAACAGCGTAGTTAAAGGAAGAAAGTTGTCGCTGGTAGATTGATGAGTGAGTTCGATTAGAGCAAAAAAGAACGTGTTGCAAATCAGTACATAAAACGACATAATTAGCATTTACTTTTGCAATTTCGGTATCTTTTCTTAATGTTTTGTAACCTGCTTCCGCTAGCATATGATGAATTTTAGTTTCAATTTCTATTTTCTTTCTTTCACATTCATCGCTAGCAGAAGAAAGTTTGATAAAGAGCTTGCCACAATATGAACAAGTATCTGATGTGGGAAGTCCAAAACGCAAATTGAATTTACTTTTAAAATTGTCGTGGTAGGTTCATAGAGAGATTTTTGTATCAGGGTAAATTTTTAAAAATATGTACATTTTTGAGATGCTTAAATCAGCTGAAAGGCAACTTTTGGAAGAAGCATTTCTGCTATATTGACAAGTACCTAATATGTTCGCATATTTTCTCTGCATCTGTTATCATGAGTTTTTTGGGACGATTAGCATGTTGGCCACGTTGATCATTTAGATTTACTCCTGCTTTCATTTTATCATCAAGGTACTGGAGTCTTCTAAAGATTATTGAAAACATATAACATACCGTTGTTTACATACCCTTATGTTTTCTACTGTATATTTCACTGTACACTGACAACAAGATGTTTCCCCTACCCTTCTTCTTTTTCGCTTTTGCAGCGAAAGATACTGAGACAAAAATTTTGATTGGCCATTGTAACTCAGTTCTCTAAACGTTTTGAATGGTTTTGCGTGATTGCCTACTAATAACTCAGTAGAACAATCCGTAGCAGACCGCGTACATTTAAAAATGCGTACCTAAAATAAATATTGTTTTAAAACATGAAACTAGTTTAGATTACTTCATCTGTGCAACTTAGAGCTTCTTTGGGTACTTCTCCAGTTAAACTTTCGTGTTAATTTGTGTAATCACTGACTTGGTTATACTAACATCCTGTTTAGCTCGAAATGACAAATTACACGATTGAAAACGTTGACTTGCAAAACACGTGCAGAAAATTTGGTGCGAAACACGACCCACTTTTAACACATACAACGTTGTTTAACCGAAAGTTGAAGGTTGACCAATTTTTAAACTACTAAAACAGGCAAGATAAGTGTCATAATATTCTTACAGTCAGAAGTACATTATTTTGCAAATATAGAACGTTTTATGAAAAACCCACATATAAAAGTAGTGGCGGTTGCAACGTTGTTCCATCATAGCATTCAATTATTGACCAATTAAAAATTGTAAAAAAACATTTTCTAACCATGTTCATCATTCTTGAACACTTCTTCTTTTGTAGATTTCAGCTGGGCTTTTTTTGCTTAATTTTGTTTTGTATACTGTCTCTCGTTTGCAGTAATTTTATTTCTTTTTTTACTTTTACCTTGTCTTTTAAATATTGTTTGAAATTTCGTTCGAGTCAACCCTTTTCCATAGCGGTGTGCACCAAATGTGACGCAATTATTAGACAGTTGCAGGGAGAGTGGGAATCCAACTACTGGCATAACAACAAAAAATTACGTTACAATACTATACAGTGCTGAGTGCGTTAAGACCCGGCAAAATAGCGCAAAAGATTGAAAATATAATACGTTGTGAAAGAAAAAGGGATGAAATTAGTAAAGGTGGGAAATTCTCGATAGAAACCTGTAATTTACATTATACAGTGCGTAAGTTTTCGATTACATATTGCAAACTACATAAAGTGCTAAAATCGACAACATTGCCTCGTACGAGGTAATTGTAATTATCCGATCCTATCTGATACCTTAGACTCCTAGACAGAAAACGAGAAAACCAGTTAGTAACACATAACAAGGCAGGGAATGTGCATCTCTGTCCGTTAATTTTTGTTTTGCTTACGTATACCCGGTTCATTTCTTATAACATAAACTCGATAAAAATACACTGACCATTATAAGGCGGTGCATTTGTATCGGTTTTTAATAATGTGAACAATTTTTTGTGGTTGAATTAAAAATAAAAGGTCATTTCTTTAAAAAGATGTTCTATAATATATATAATAAAATAAGAAATAATTCTTTATGCCGTACAGAAATTATTCAAATATTTGACCTAAGGCTGAACAGTATCCCAATCTGTGATAAAATCTTCTTCGGACAGATAAAAGAGTTTCTGAGTAGAAGGGTATCCACTTTACTCCACTTTAACCTCTGACGTCACAAGCCCCTTCGTCCCACTCCGGTCACGCCCCGCGTTGACGTCATTGGGCACCGTCAGACAATTTTAATCCAAATTATTAAATTAATCATTTTTTTTACTTAATTAGATGGCTTTGGTAAAGACCAATTAGCCAGACGATTGTTTAATCATTATTATTAAATAAAAAATTTTGCCTTTTGTGAGACTCGAACTCGCGATCAGCCGTACCGAAGTTAAGCACTCAGTCACTTTAAGATCATACTGATAAGCCACATGGCCGTTTAAATTCTACTCACAATAACCTGTATAAAAACAACATTCATTAAATATAGTGCATATTGAATAATCGAAATAAATAATGAATAAGAATATCGATACTTTACCAATGATTTTACATGTCTTTATATGGGATCAACAAGTGCTTAAAGCGATGAAAAACGATCAAATTATTGGTGACAGGGTAACGGAGGTTCGTGGAAAGCCGATGGCGCGAAGTGTTGCCATTTATAGTGTATATATCTAATTTAAAACTTAACGCACGGTATTAGGACTATCGATAGTTTCCCACCTTTAGACTTTACATTATGAGTTAGTTCACTTGAGTCATTATTATATGTATGACGTCGAACATTAACATTTTTTTAATTTCGCTCAAAGTAAAAACTGATTGAAGACAACAAACCAAAATGTAAATAAAACTATTTTAATTATTAGTAATTTTTTAATCCAAAATTAAATTATTGATCAAAAATAATTTCTACTATAATTTGAGATGTCGCATACACTCTTGTCACTAAAGAATTATTGAAGCTGTGTGGTTTAGTGGTAAGAGTACTTTCACGCAGACGCTGAGGGTTAGAATCCCACATTTGTAATCTTAGTTCCCGCATTAGTCTAGTCATGATAAAACAGCTGTCAGTGAGTTGTAAAAATTGTTTGCGACTAGCAACAGCGTTGTTACTTCAAAAATCTATACCTCTTGAAAAAACAGATAGTAATAAACGTTTATTTTTAGGTTTTGACCCGAAAAACCCTTCTCAAAATCCTCAAGAAGGCGACAGTAGCCAAAACAAAGATAGATTTTTCATGCCTGGCATTACAGGGCGCTTTAGAGACCAAATCGAAAAACGTAAAATGTTATGGCAAAAGAAAGACCCGGAACCGGAACAGGCTGGACCCGCAGTGCCTATCAAACAAAATCCAAAGCTCCAAGCGAACGCTCCAAGGTCAACTAAGTTGTGGGAGGCGACCACTTTTGCACAGGATACAGACGGTAAGGTTATTTTTGTATACTGTGAATTTTATGTTATACCACATTTCTTAATGTTTAAGAGCACAGCAATCTCATTATATTTTCAAAATGGGAATTTATACAGTGGTGAGTGCCATATCACCCGGCTTTTTAACGTAAGAGATAGAAAACACAGTAACCTTGTGAAATAAAAGGAGATGAAACTCGTAGAGGTGGGAAATAATCGATAGAAACCTATAATTTACATTACATTACATTACGACTATCGATAGTCTGACACCTTTAGACGTTACCTTCGATCTAAATCACCTCGGTCATAATTATTATGTTTGACAGTTTGACGTCGTATGTGTGACGTATTTCCATTTTTTAATTTAGATAAAGTAAAAACTGATTGACCACAATAAAGCAAAAATGTGAATAAAATAATTTAATTAATAGTGATTACTTATTCTAAAGTTTTAAATTATTAACCAAGAATAATTTCTACTATGATTTGAGCAGTTTCATACACTCTTGTCACAGAATAATTAGCAATCCTTCGTGGATTAGTGGTAAGAATTCGACTCTGCGACGCAGATGATTAGAGTTCAAAACCTACATGAGGTTTTCTTTTTTTAATAATTTGAAATTATGCAGAGATCGTTTTGCTTTGAATCATTCATCCCCAGGGAATTGTTCGTTGGATTTATGAAGTTTATAGGATCGGTATCCATGTCTTTTCAAAATTTTACCAACTCTAAATCTTGAAATTCCATATTGTTCTCCGAGACGAGATGTTGATTGGGTAGGATTTTGCTCAATACTTGCACAAATCAAAGTGTTTCTTAGTTCCAAATCTGGATTTAGCTCACTTCGTGTACAAACTCCTCTTGGAGCGAACACGGATCCATAAGTAAAAAAAATACGTATAATAGATTGAATTGTTGATCGTGATGGAGCCGGCCTATTTGGAAACATATTTACAAATTGTTGTCTAATCATGTTGTCTGAGAATCCATTCACATGCCAGACAACAATTTGCACTTTTTCCTCGACCGTTAAAACCATTTTCACGAATTGTTTTTTCAATAAAAAGTTTCTGTTTACCGTGCAAAAACACTTCTCGATATGTTATTATTTGATGGCTTAAATAAAGGCTTCGCTTCGCGCGCATCCATTCCAATGTTGTCAATTGTTTTGAAAATCATCTGTACAGAGGAATTGATATTAACATTGAGAATTTAGTGATGGATTTGATATAAACAGTCTTCACCGGATTATTTTGCATTCACAACTGAAGACTGTATGAATTGAATTTGAATCATTTTGTATTTCCCTTTTATAACATTGGAATAAAAATAAATTGTAAATAATGAGTTTTTCGAAAATTTGTTACCTAATATGTATCATATTTTCTATTATTTTTTTATTGATAAAACAAAAATTTTATCCTTGGTGTGGAATTGAACCCCAATTTTCTCGTCAATAGACAACGTCCCTAACTACTACACCAATTTCACATACATTAAATGTTTTCAGACAAAACATACCTACCTTTATTTTAGTCAAATATTTCAGTCGAGTTATTTTTACTATTAAATAAATTTAAAGATTTATAATTTAAAATCGCTACTAATGAATGTTTTTTACTATAATATATTATCTTAATTTATTCAAGTATTTATTCTAACATCAGAAATTATTAAAATAAAATATTTTTGAGGGTATCCGTATAATTATGACTGAAGTCAAATAGGTATATAAGTGAACTGTATAATGGTGATAGAACCGGAGACTAGTTGAAGGTGAAGGACCAGAAATACTAAAATCAGAAATACTGCATGCTATAAAGTTAGCAAAGGACAAGAAAGCCGTTGCCCCTGATAACATACCGACAGAAATGTTAAAGCTTATAAATGAGGAGAACATTGGAATACTGGTCAAACTTTTCAATGATGTTTATTCGACTGGTGATATCCCTGAAGCTTGGTTAAAGTCCGAATTCATAACACTACCAAAAAGACAACGTCCGAAAAACTGTAGCGATTATAGAATGATAAGCCTTATGAGCCACACTTTGAAAATATTTCTACGCATCATCCACAGTAGAATCAGAGATAAATGTGAAGAAGATCAGGATGAAACACAATTTGTCTTCAGGAATGGACTGACGCCCTCTTTGCACTAAATGTATTACTGCAGAAATGTCGAGATCAAAGGAAAGACGTCTTTGCTGTATTTATTGACTATGAAAAGGCCTTTGATCGAGTACAGCATCACAAATTAATTACAATATTAAAAGATAAAGGAGTTGATAGTCAAGACATACGATTCATAGAAAAGTTATACTGGCGTCAAACAGCGACAACTTGCATAAACGGAAAATCAACAGAAATATGTAAAATACAAAGTGGTGTCAGACAGGGTTGTATACTATCCCCACTGTTATTTAATTTATATTCAGATAGAATATTTAAAGAAGCGCTGCACAATTTGGAATGGGGCGTGAAAGTTAATGGAATTCTGATAAATACAATCAGATATGCAGACGATACAGTTCTTTTAAGTGATGACATGAATGGATTACAATGCCTTTTAAATGCCATTGATACAGTGGGAAGAGAGTTTGGCCTAAACATAAACTGTTCAAAAACAAAACACATGGTGTTTAGCCGTTTAGCACATCAAGATGCACGATTATATGTTGATGGTCATATAATTCAAACAGTGTCCAGTTTTAAATATCTTGGTTACCATATTACTGAACAACTAGATCCAGATCAAGAGATAAAATGTAGAATCGAGATAGCCTGCACGACATTTTTAAAAATGAGGTCATTCTTCTGTAATGATAACTTGCAACTTCAACTTCGAAAGCGCATGGTTAAATGCTACATTTGGTCAGTCCTCTTATACGGTGTCGAAGCATGAACATTAAAAATATCCACCATTAATCGTCTGGAGGCCTTTGAAATGTGGCTGCACAGACGTATACTAAAAATTCCATGGACGGCTATGCCGACAAATGTGGCAGTCCTTGAGAGAGCAAATGCTGCTTGCCAGCTGCTTGATAACATCAAATGTAGAAAGATGGCCTATTTTGGACACATAGTAAGGGGAGACCAATATAATATTCTTCAACTTATTATGATGGGTAAAATCGAAGGACGCAGAGGAATTGGTAGAAAGCACGCCTCTTGGCTGAAGAATATCAGGGAGTGGACAGGAATAAAGCTGAGCAACTATTTAGAATAGCTCGAGACAGAAACAGTTTCGCCATGTTAACCGCCAACGTCAAGGGGACTTGAGAGGGTACGTTAAGAAGAAGAAGAGGTAAAAATGTATTATTAATACGTATCTCGTTTATGCTGTAGAGGTCCGTCAGAAGGTCTCCGTTTTCATTTCTGATATTTTCATTATATCGCTAGTTTTTTTGGGAGGAGGAAATCTTTGCAACACCTCAAGAAACCTGGGTATTGCGCTCTCCCCTGGTGTGTGGGATTCAGTCTGTTCTCCCGATCCAGACACCCGTAAAACCAGTTGTTTGATTTGATTTGTTCTGTAAAATAAGGAATAAAAGTCTTACCATATTCTGTCACTCTAATCTTCCATCTTGTCTTGCTTTCTCTCTCTCTCTCTCTCTCGTGTTTCCTTTTTTATTGTTTCTCTTATTAGGTTTACTATCACGTTAAAGTTTTCTGCGTTTGGCATGGCTACATTCATTATATTCTCTGAAACAACAGCAAATTGAATGGCATTCCTTAATTCGACCCTGTCAAATAAGGCATTTGAGGTCCTGATATAAATATTTGGGAAATTGTTATGTGTACATTTTACGAAGAAGTATTTGTAGAAGTTTTAATCACAACTAAACAGTTAATCTATTTGCAGGTAAAGTAGCCAATAAATTTAAGAGATTGATGGGTATAAAAACTCCGAGCGAAGGCAGCAATTCCACAACGGAGGTCCTCAAGAAGCAAGACGAGATGTTTAGCGCCATGGAGCAACAATACGAGGTAGCGCGAACTACCACGCACACGATGAGGGGCGTCGGATTAGGCTTTAGTAGTTATAACCGATAACTTTGCCTTTAGTGTAAGACGAAGAACCGTTTTGCTATAATTTAGGAAAAGAACATGTTTTATCTAAATTATTCGCTAAGTAAAAGAGTGTAAAACCTAAAAAAACTTTGAATTGTGCAAGTTAAAAAACTTTAAAAAAATATTTTTCAATAAGAAGGTAATAAATTTAAAAAAGCTTGTCCAAATTAGTCGCGAAATGCCATACAGTATAAAACAAAATGGAAATCGTACAAGAACCTATTAAAATATTTGTGTCTCGAATTTAATTAGACGCCATGTTTAATTTTCTCGGATTTTCAAGTAAAAACTTCCAACTTATAATTTGTCTCTAAGTAGTACGTTTTAAAACTGAGTCTATCACTAGTTTTTCTGTGTTTTAGTTTTGGTTGCACTAATCCTCAGACTGCGCCATATTATCTTAATTTTTATAATAAATAATTTTTGCTATCAAAAATATGACAATTAAGCGTGAAGTTTCTTATCAGCCTAATTTACTATCATTAAAAACATGTTTTATAACAAACCCAATAGTTAAAGGGATTATTGTAGAAAACTGCCCTCTGTATAAATCATTTGTTTAGAAATTCCGACGTTATAGGATATTTTTGGAGATAAATTGAATTTTGGCCCATTTTTGCTGCATTTTCTCTATACTATTTCAGAAGCATCTTTCATATATTTTTTCTAATTATCTCATACCCAGAAGTAAAAATACTTCTAGTTTTTTAATATATCTCCACATAAATTTTAAAGTTGAAACTGTCATTAGTTTTTATGTGTCTTTTGCAGTTTTGGCTCCTCAGACCGCGCCAAATTATCTTGACCTGTTTTTATTTCATTCATATTGGTGATATTCTTCAAATAAGGGTGTTTCGGTATTTTCTGTTTATGTTTCCTGATCCAATGTTATGCCCTATAGCAAGTTTCAAAATGTTCATGAGCCTAATACGCTTTCCCGTAAAAATGAATCATAAAAATCGAACCATTTTAATTTCATACTGTTAAAAGAAAATCAATAAATACTCCAAGTATGTTACTAATTAAAAAACTGTTTTGACAGATAATGAGAATGCACTCCAGACAATTGAATTTTTTCAGCATAGTCTGATTTTATAGTTTCATCACCAAATGAGTGAGTCAGGTTGTTCTTTCTTAGCTGTTCAATGTTTGTACTTTCTTATTGTTTTCCTATTATGACTTTGATGGAGAATCTTCAGCCACAGTATTCATGCTGGATGTACAAATAATGAATGCCAAGTAGATTTAACAAAGTTTTCACAAAAATTTTCCTTTGGATAGACTAAATATTAAAGTAATAATCTATCTATCTATCTATAGCCCAAAATCTATTCATGTGTTGAATATAGGCCTCTCCCATTTGTCTCTGTCTTCTGTTTGTCTTTTCCACATTGGACCTGCGCTTTGCTCAATGTCATCTTTCCATCTCATTTGCGGTCGACCTCTTGACCTTTTTGCAGTATATGGTCTCCAGCGGCCAATTTCTTTATTCCATCTTCCATCCTTATATCTTTCGTTATGCCCAGTCCATTTCCATTTTAATTTCAATCCATGTTCGACAGCGTCTGTTGTTTCGGTTTTGCATCTTATCCACTCGTTCCTATTTTTATCTCTCAACGATATTCCCAACATGTTTCTTTCCATAGCTCTTTGAGTTTTCTTTATTCTATCTAAGTTGCTCTTGGTACACGTCCACGTCTGGCATTATATGTCAGAACAGGTAGGACGCACGCATTAAATACCCCCGTTCTTAATTTTAAAGGTATTTTCTGGTTTTTGATAGTATATGAGAGTTTTCCGAATGCAGCCCACCCCATTCTTATTCTTCTGGTTATTTCTTTAGTCTGGTTACTTTTGTCTGCTCTGATAGCTTGTCCTAAGTAAATATATTCCTGGACGTGTTCTATGTCTGTTCCACCTATGGTAATTACTGATCTGTCTTCTGTATTAGTCATTATTTTAATTTTCTTTAGATTCATTTTTAGTCCTTTCTCAAGAGATGTTTTTTTCTAGATCTGAAATCATTATTCGTAGTTGTTCCATAGTTGTTGCTATCAGGAGTACATCATCAACGAATCTTAGATGATTTAAATATTTCCCGTTTATACAAATCCCTTTATTATCCCAGTCTATAGATTTAAAAATGTCTTCCAACGCCAGAGTAAATAGTTTGGGTGAGATTGTATCCCCTTGTCTGACAACTCTACAAATTCTAATTAATGAAGTTTGCAAATCTCTGTCTAGCTGAATCCTCATATATATATATATATATATATATATATATATATATATATATATATATATATATATATATTGTGGATTAACTTTCTGTACCGTGAATCTATTCGGCAATTAACTAGAGCTTCTTCCACTGCCCATAGTTATATGCTGTCAAACGCTTTTTCATAGTCAACAAACGCTAGGTATATTGGAAGGTTGTATTCGTTGGTCTTTTCTATCAATATTTTAAGAGTGTGAAGGTGGTCGGTTGTGCTGTAACCTTTTCTAAATCCTGCCTGCTCAACTGGTTGGTATGCATCAAATTTGTTGTTTAGTCTAGTAGTTGTGATCGGCTTAGTGAAAGTTCTATAGATTTTTGACAAGAGAGATTTTGGTCTATAGTTAGCTAATTTTGATCTATTTCCTTTCTTATATATCAGAATTTTATTTGCCTTGCTCCACTCTTGCGGTATTTGTCCTTCAAACAAACATTTATTGAAAAGTATCTTTAGTCTTTTATTTTTCCCCTTCTTCTTTTGACATTTGAATTAGAATTTCATCGTTTCCCGGAGCCTTATTTCTTTTCATATCTCTAATTGCTTTTTCTATTTCTTCTCTGGTTATGGGGGTAATATTTCAGAGTTTACATTCATTATTTTCTTTGTCAGGTTTTGTTGAGTTGTATCAGGTGGACTGTGTTTAGAGCTGTAGAGGTCACTACAATATTCCCTTGTTATCTTAGATCTTCTCGATTCGTTCTTCTTGATGCCGTTTGAGATCTTGTTTTATATGTCTTCTTATTTCTGTATTAAGGGTTTTGTATTAAGTTGTATTTCTTTTATTTTCTTGTAGTAGGCTTCTCCGTTGTTGTAGCATGTCTAAAGATATGGCACTTAGTTTTGATTTTTTGTCTGATTTTGCTGGTGCTATTAAAGTATCAATCTAAAGAGCCGCAAATAATATTCACTCCGGCCTAAATGATTGTAGCTACGTAGATTCTTCAACCAATGAATCAGTCTATGATATTTTTAATACTCTATAGTATAAACAAAATTCGAAAGCCATGATTGCTATTAAGATTTCTGCACATTATGAGTGGCTTCATTCATATAAATACTGATCTGGCAATCTCTATTCGCCTATTTATTTCTGCAGTACGATCATTGGTTTCATTGATCGAAGTTCCCAAGTACTGGAATTTATTACTTGTTTAATAACGTTGCCAATAATAATTGTCAATATTCTATTGTTCGCAATCTCAATAAAAAATGTGTTCTATAACAGTAAATAATAAAAAAACTTTTTGTCTTTAAATTATAGCAAAATGGCTAACGCAAATTTGTACATTCTTGTGTATTTTGATCCATTTAGTGGAGTAAAGAGGGTCGTTTTACTTTAAAAATATAGAATTTTAAAAATTGATTGTGTTCCTTTTATATACAAAACATCAATACGTTTAAAATTACGCCAAAACTTATTTAGTTTAAGTAAGTATTAATTGATGTTTGGATATAGTAAAAGTAAAACAAATGCACTTCACAGTGCTGATGAAGTCGAAATTTAGATGATTTTAAAAATAATAACTGTCGTCTGTCACCATTTATTATTTCATCTTTTTGGAGGTTGTTTACTTTTTATCAATTGTATTAATTTCTGTATGGTACAGAATATCCAAAAAAGTTCATCAGAAAAAAAATTTAAATGTTCAAATAGTCCACTTACAACGTCTATGCAAGTTTATAACCGATATTCAAATGACCGAGCAAGATGTCTTAACATTTATAAAGTCAATATTATTAATCTTTCATTAGACGCAGTTTACTTTTGTGTATCAGTAGTCGCACAGGGTCTACTAGACCGGTCATAAAAATAGTCCTTTATATGCATTTTGTTTAAATTTCAATAAAAAAATCTATTGTTTGTAGTTTTTTTTAATATTATTTATTATTATTGACATATTTTGTTTATTTAAAATATTTATTTACGCAGCACAAAAAATATTCCACAATTTTTGTAATAGTTTGATTTATTCTTTTTTTACTAAACAAAATACAATTAATTTAAAATTAGAACATAACGGTCTCCAAAAACTATCTTTTAAACAAAAATAATACATTATTTCAATAAGACTTAAATATATATATATATATATATATATATATATATATATATATATATATAAGAGATGGCAAAAAACATAAGAAAATTATACAGGAATATTGCAAATTGGATTTACATGTTCCAAACACACATACTTCTTACAAATCGAACAAAAATATTTCGTTTTTCAATTCTTTTTTTATCCACAGTCCTACACTGTGGGACCGGAGTTCTCCTTTATATCTAAATAAACTTATCTCTTTTCCTGTCACAGATGAACATCCGCGAAACGTATAACAATAACCAGAAGACATTTTAAATACTTAGAAATTAAACTTTTAACTATAAACTTATATATTTTAACTATAACTATAAACTTTTAACTACTAAGTAAATTCGATAAATGGTCAAATGCACCTGTATAGTTTAGTATTTACCACAGGTGCCTACGGACTATCGTTAACAACCAGAGTTGAAGAATAAGTACGTGTTTTTGACAGTAAAGCAACCAAGTTCGGGCATGCGTATACAAAAACGGTACACGGATTTCGGTGCTCGTGTCGCTTCTCTGTGTTCGTAGTTCTCTGACGGCGATATGATTTCCTGTTTTTCAGTCACAGGATCAACGTCGTCCTCATGGTGCATAGTGGGATAGAACAGAA